CGACTACGAAACGGCCTCTCTGCGCCCCGCCTGCGCGTGCACCGGGATGGTACTGCCAGCTAGAGGGAGACCTGCGTCGGATTGATCAGCAGAGGATCATATCCGTCTCGACCTTTGTAGGCGATGCCGTGGGGGTAGGGACGGGGCTGCGTTCGTAGCTCTTGACGAGTCGGATGCCCCCACCACGGGCAGCGGCAGCGTCGGCGGCAGCGGCACCGTCCGTCGACGTGGGTGCGTTGGGTGGTACGAACATGTTTCTCAACCCATTCGACGCGCCCCTCGTCGTCGCTGCTCCTGTCGCAGCAGCAGAGGAGGACGACGAGGGAGGGTGCGGGGGATTGCGCATCATCCTCCTGAGGTTGCGCAGCGAAGAGCTACGAGGCGTCAAGGTAGGTGCGCCGGCGCCCGCGGCGAGTTTCGAGGGCGAGTTGCAAAGAAGCGTATACCGATTCGACGCCGTTATACCCCCTCCACCACCCGCACCACCCATCGTCGATGAGGCAGAGGGTTTGGTGGGCGACGGCGTGGTTCGGCCCAGTCCGATGCCGGCTTCCGTGGCGCGGTTGCGCGCCCGCAGTTCGGCAAGACGCGCGGTACGCATCTGCTCCGCTACACTCTTGCCCGTCGTCGTCGTCGTCGCCCCCCCTCCCCCTCCTCCTCCGACGATCGTGGTCGTCGTATTGACGTTGCCGGGATAGCCGGTCGAGGTCGATGCGCTGGCGATGCTGGTGCTGCCGCGTGCGCAAGAGGCGTTCGACAGGGTTCGTGTCGAGATTTTGCGCGGCGCCGTCGAGCCTGCCTGCATCGTAACCGCGCCCACCGCGGCACTACCACCACCTCCGAGACCGTTGACGCTACCGCTGCCGACGGAAGGCAACGTCCGCTGCCTCACCCCGGTCCGGCCTTCGTCATCCGCAGTTGCCGATGCCGCCAATTTGCGGGCGAGGTCCATCGACGACGAGCTGGCCAGCATCGTGGTGCGCACCGCCGCCTGCGCGATCGCCTCCCTCTTGCGCTGCAGCAGGCGGTCGGGCTGCACGCGCGCCCGCTTGACGGCCCCCGCCACCGGCTTGGCTGCCTTGAGCAGCGTCTTTTTCTGCGCGTCGCCCGATACGCTCGTCGTGCTGCCGCTGCCGACGATGCCCCTCGTCGCTGCTGTCGCTGCTGCTGCTGCCGCCGCCGCCGACGCCGTCGTCGTCGACGTCGACGTGTTGGTGCGCACGCTGCCAAACTCGCGCGCAGAAGACGACGTGGGGCGGTGCTGTCGGGCGGCGGGAAGGGTGGCCGAACTCGATCCAGTCCATCCCTGCGTGCGCAGGCGATCGGCCATGGCCGTAGCCGTCGACGGTCGAGTCACCGCCTGGCTGACACCTCGATCGGCTGCGTTGGGCGCCGAGGGTGCTGCCGTCGACGGCGCACGCAGCGTCGAGGGCTTCCTGGACAGGCTGGCCTTGAGGTCGAAGCCGGGCTTCTTCTTGGCAAGGGTGCCTCCCGACGTCTTGGTCGACGAGGCCGATGCTGCGCTGGCGGCAGAGACGGCCGACTTGGTGCTGCCGATGCTGCCAGCATCGACCCTCTTGGTGACCGCCGATCCATCCGTGTTGGCTGCTCCGCCTGCTGGCGCTGCAGAGGCGCCCCCGGAGCCGCCGTGGAGCATACCTCTGATGCCCATCTTGATCCTTTCGAGGCGCCCGCGGTCCTTGGCCGCTGCGCCTGCCGTCTTCGATGCAGTGCCCGTAGCGCCGCCCTTGCTCAGCCGGCGCTGGCGCGCCAGTTCGAGCCGCTTCTTGTGCAGCTCGCGCTGGGCCAGCGACGAGACCGACGTAGCCGTCGTGCTGCGCTGCATGGTCGGCGCTGCCGCCAGTCGGCCCGACGCCGAGGGGCGCAGTCCCGGCCGGTTTGGATCCTCCGAGACGCGGATGCGCTTCGAAGACGTCGCGGTGCTCATTGCAGCACCTCGTTGGGCGCCGGAGCTTGCGGCCAGGCTCGACGACGACGGACCGGAAACTATCCTGGCGGGGTGCTTGGCCGACCTTGGCGGAGGCGGGACGATCCGGCCATCAACGCCAGAGGCCGACGGCGTCACGCTGCCCGCCTCTGCCTGCCTGCTGCGCTTGGCCGCATAGTGGTTTGCGATCGAGTCCATCCTGCCAAACTGCCTCTCGTGGTCGTCGTCGAAGCGCGTCGACTTGCCCTTGGAGAGGCCCAGGTCGCCGAGGGACGTTGTCGAGCCGCCCCACTGCCCCACGCCGCCAAGCGTCGAGAGCGACGTCGTCGAGAGGCCCTTTGCTGCGAGCCTGGCGTTCAGGTCGGCCAGGATCGACTCCGTGGCTGCCGTAAACTGGTGGTTGGTGATCGAGGGCATCGATGGCAGCGCTGCCGAGGCAGTTGTGGGCGCGGTCCGTGGGCCGGCCGGGCTCGAGGCGAGCCTGGAGAGGTCCGGGTAGAGCTTCGAGGGCGATGCTGCGACCATCGAGAGCCCAGAGGGCGCAAGCGACGCACGCGAGCGCGAGGGTCGAGGCTTGATGATGCGCAGAGGCTGCGTCTGGCTCCCAGCTCCCACCCTCTGGTCGTCGGCACCGTTTCCATCTGCAGCGGCCGCTTCGGCATCGGCGCCGTCGCTTGCCAGCATCGAGCCATCAAAGGCGCCCGGCATGGAGCAGTCTGCTGGCTCGTCGGCGAGGTCCTGCGCGCTGCTGCTCGAGTCCTGGTCGTGCTTGGAGCCGACGTCGACATCCTCCCTGCGCCTCTTCTCGCCGGCAGCCTTTTTCGGCCCGCCGCCCTTGGAGAGCGAGCCCATGCGCTGCAGCCCGTTTTTGAGACCCTTGAGGCTGCCGCTCAAGGTCTTCCAGGGCGACGAGGTGGAAGAGGCTTTGCTCTGGACCGATGCCGAGGCGGGCCGGGAAGCCTCGCCGACAATGTCCATGGCGGCCATGGAGCCAAACTCGGCCATGAAGGGTTCCAGAGGCGGCTGCTGCGGCTGCTGTTGCGCCGCGGCCGAGACCTGTAGGGTAGGGGTCTGCCCTTGGACGTCCATGGAGCAGTCCTGGACGTCGGGCTCGGCTGGCTCCGGGCTGTGGATGTCCCTGAGCATGCGGTCGATGTCGAGAGAGAGGTCTGCGACCTGGGCCTGGGCCGACGAGGGCCTGTGACCGGCCTTTGAGCTGGAAGCGACGGGATCTGAAGCAAAGGGGCGAGGGCCCTTTGTCGATTGTCGGAGGGGCTGTGTTGGCTGGAAAGGGGCGGGAGGGTCGGAGTGCATGGCGATGCTGCTGTTGATATTGCGCTTCCTCGGTGAGCGACGCAGGCTCTGGGAGGGCTCGGAGTGCTGAGAAGACGAGGGGATGGCGATGATTTCTGCTGCAGCGTCCGGGGCTGGGGGCGGCGGACGGGGTGGTTGCGAGGGGGATGGTGAGCGACGATGGCGGAGCGGGTGGGCGGTGGGGCTTGTGGCGAGGTTGTCGGCGTCGTCGTCGTCCGAGTCTGGCGCTTCCTGGTAGCTGGGCCTGGAGCGCTTTACGTGGCGGAGGAGGGCGAGGTTGCCCCTGGTTGGGCTGTTTGGGCTGATGTTTGCTGCTGCAAAGTGCTGGAGCCTGTGTATGAGGTCAGCGCTCTTGCCGTTTGCCTTGATGTCGAGCCTCCTGCAGAGGCTGACGAGCTGCTTGCGCTTGAGGCAGTGGAGTGCGTCTGGATGGAGGAGGATGGAGTCGTCGTCGGCGGCCATGGCGTGCGACGGTCGAGGCGGGCGGGCCGCGTTGGTTGTTGGTGGCTGTCGAGGTGGTGGTGGCGGGTGGGGTGGCGGTGGTAAGGTAGGGTGGCGGTGGTAAGGTAGGGTGGCGGTGGTAAGGTAGGGTGTTGGCGATGTTGCTGGTGGTGGTGTTGCTGGTGGTGGTGGTGATCTTGGCTGGGTCTGGTGGTGGTGGTGTCGGGTTTGAGCAAGAGGTCGACGTGTGGCTGGCTGGCTGGCTGGCTGGGTTGTACGACGCGGTCAGAGGGGATGAGGCCGAGGGGGGTTACGTTGATGCACTTTCCAACTGCGTCTCGCCCCGAGGCTGTGTGGTTTGCAGGGTTCTCGGTGGGAAATCACGCCGCGCCGCCCTGCCTGGCTGCCTGCCTTTTTCGGTGACTTGTGCCTGCCTGGTGCGTGGACCCTCGACCTGCCCCGTCACGTCGCCAGACCAACACAACGCCCCCAGCCGAGACCAACACAAGGCGCGCACACGCCCGCCGTCTGCCTCGCTGGCCCAAGGTCGGACTGTCGGGCGACAGAGGGCCACCTGATTCATAGGCGCCCCGAGGCCTAGCCTGTCTGTGCGCCGGGGCGCAGCGCCCGGGCCTACCTACACCTTGGGCCATGTCCGCCATGCACCCTTTCTTGGCTCTTTTCTTCGTCGTCGCCCGGCCTCTCTCGTTTCGTACGACCACCATCTCAGCCCCGCTCGCCCCATCACTCTCGGACCTCGTTCATTTGGCCCGTCTCGTCGGCCTGTTGGTCCTCCGCATCCAACGTGCCTCGCCCAGCTCGCCCCTCTTTTGGCTCTGCCTCTGCATCTGCCTCTGTCTCTGCCTCTGCCTCTGCCTCCGCCTCTGCCTCCGCGCCTCACCGCACCCGCGCACCCGCGCACCCGCGCACCCGCGCACCCGCGCATCCGCAACATCCGTACCCGCATCCTCGTCGCCGGTCACCATGCTCGCTCCGCCCCACTAAGCCATCTCAAGGTGCGCCGCTCCACCCACGATGCGCCACGCTCTTCATCGTCCAGCACGGCCCTACATAGCCTGCCTCGTTTCGGTCCATTCGTCTCTCTCCCTGCCCCGATGCGCAGCCCGTCACGGACGACACCTCAAGTCGCCGCGCCGCACCGTTCCCTGCGCCTCAAGCTCGTGCCCCTCCGCCTGCGCATGCAAAGTCACGGAAAGCAAGCGTATGTAGCCTCTTCCCTCGCACCAACCTGTCAAAACTCTTTTTCGCCCGTACCGACACTCCCTCCATCTCAACAGCAAGCCGCGCCTCGATCATCAGCCGATCCGCTGTTCTATTTGGCTCATCTGCACATGCTCCTACACGCCGTCAACCACCCATCACATCTCCCTCCCTCATCCTTTCTATCCTCTTGGCCTCAATATCCACCTTTGAGCTTCTTGTCCCATCACAACCACGACCCGGCCGCTTCTATCCTTGCACACCCTACGCACCGGCAGCTCGACGTCGCCCTGCTTCCCATGCAACCCTCGACACCCCTCGACTGCTCGATCCGGATCATCCCTGCCCCCTGACTACGCTCGCCTCGATCCCATTCATAGACACGATACCCTGCACCGCCCTGCATTGCTCCCCTCCTGCTCGTCTCCTTCGGCCACCACCTCGACCGCATGCCCCGCCTCGACCCTCTCCCTGCCCTCAATACCGCCTCTCATCATCATCATGCAAAGGACGCCTCGATCCACCCTCGATCAGCTCAGGAAGTTCCACGCCATCTCCTCGGCGAGGGAAGCTGCCCTCCTCGCCCTTCTCTCCGGAGACGATCAGGCCACAAAGCACGAATTCTTCGCTCTCCTCAAAACCCTCCAGAGGGACCTCTTACCGCTCTCCGACGACGAGGAAAAGGCCGCTCCGCGCAGGCGCTTCGATGCCGGCCTCGCGACCCTCCTGTACCGATCCAGACTGGACGAGCAGCGTAGGTAGCAAGCCACAGTCGCCCGCCTTGCCCAGCGTCCCTGATCTTCAGCTGAACAACTCATGAGCCTCGCCGTGTCCTAAACTTGACTCTCAAACATCTCCCTGGCAGCCTCCCGCATCGACGCCTCGCGCGCACCTCCTTCCAAGACGCCTAGTCCGCCTTCCAGCTCGTCATCGAAGCTCACATCGACGACGGCTGTAATCACAAGCTGCACCGCCAGCTCTGCCTCCAACAAGCGCCGCTCGCCGTCGACGCCGTACGACGATTCGTCCCCCGGCTCCGAGCTCGAAGTCTCGCCAGGCAAGCGGATCCGCACCCTTGATCAACGCACCTTGCCGGCACGCTCTCCTTCGCCGACCGACAAGCGCGGAACCGCTGCTCGCCTCCTAGCCAGCCGCGGCTCGTTTGCCGCGCGCGGCAGGCCGCAACGCACTCGAGCCGGTGAGGCTTCCACTGCAGCGCGTCTTGATCGCGCGCAGGACACGCTGACCGGAGTCACTGCCAAGCTATCGCTTCGCTCCGACCAGTCCAAGGCGCCGGCGACCCGCGTTGATCCAGCCTCTCATAGGCCTGGTCCGGACTCGGAGATCTGCACGCCGGAGCCGCAGCGGCGGCCGCTGCCCGCGTTGGCCCCGGTGGCTGCGACAAAGATGCCCGCGCTCAACAAGGCCGGAGCGTCCGCAGGACCGACTTCCGATCCGACCTGCAGGATGCCCGCCGCAGTCAACGACGTCGTCCCTGCCTTACACCGACTTAAGATTATGCAAAGGCAGTCCGACGGCCGCAGCGGTGTGCCGTGGGGCACCCAATTCTTCCTGGCATCCCTCGTGTCCGATGGCTGGATCACATGGGACAACATCAACATTGTCGACGGCATCGGCGCGCTCCGATCCGAGTCGAGCCTTGCTTCGATGCGCCAGTTCTACGACCGTCAAGTGCAGGCCAAGCTGTGGGACGATGCTGAGCAGATATGGCTACCCGCGTGGCAGACCATTTCGCAGCAAGAGGCCGACACGCACGCCGAGCTCGATCGCGAGAATCAGGCTCTCCGTCGGTCCCCGGTTGCCGGCGTGGGAGCGAGCCCGGACCCGAGAGATGACTGGTTTGGCGGCAAAGTCCACTTTGAAGCGCAGGTGGCGCTGGCGGAGGGGGCCCAGCACAAGGGCTGGAAACCTTCCGCCGTTACGCAGGATGTCAAGTTCGAAGTTCGCCTCTTGCCCCCTCGGCTCGGTGCCAGCTGCCGCCTGACGAGGCGATTTGGGAGCGAGCGTTTCATTCGGCTCAAGGTGGCGCCGTCGCTGCTCAAGTCGCTGCAGCGGTACGACCCGAGCAAGGAGGCCGAGCGCGATTTCCGCGACTTTCTCCTGCGACCCTTCCACATCCTCGGCCGCATCTTCCGCCCCTGCCTGGTCAAGGAGAGCGCCATCTGGCTGCTGCAGGTCGACGAGATGTATCCGTCATTCTACCCCCTGGAGCTGCGCAGCGTCTTCTCGCTTTACGATCACCACGGCCCTTGGGAGGAAAACAGCGGCAGCACGCTGGGCAAGTATCTCCAGAGGATGCTCCTCGCCATCTCCATCTCGACGCCGGCTGTACTCGTCGACGAGATCGTCTACGAGGATGACGTCCTGGGCGACGTGTACGAAGGCCGCGGCTCTCGACGCGTCATGACTGACGGTGCGGCCTCGGCGTCGTACTCGGTGTTCAAGGCAATGGCCGATCGGCTCAACTATCCGACGCTACCGTCGGCAGTCCAGGCCCGCGTCGCCGGCGCCAAGGGCGTCTGGTTCCTTGTCCCCAATACGGATCAGCGCTACGATGCCAACGCACCCCGGGTCATCCACGTCCGAAGCAGCCAGAACAAGCTCAAGCTGCCCAACTTTGACGACTGCGACCCCTGCCATAAGGTGATCGATCTTCTCACCAACGCCAAGACGACCCTGCCCTCGACGCTGAGCCAGCAGATCCTCATGGTCATGAGTCACGGCGGGGTGCCGAACGAGACCTTTATGGCGCTGCAGCGCGACCACCTGTCCACCATCGTCGAACTCTTCGCCAACGTGGACGCCGGCGACGGCGAGGTCTTGATCAACCTTGCCAAGGAGGTCGACGACTGCGCCGGCGTCGCGATCGGCCGCGTAAAGCGCTCGATGGAGATGTCGGCCCAGCGCGCACACGGCCTCATCTCTCGCACGGACGACGATCGCAACGACGCTCGCCGCTCCGACGGGCAGGACAGCTTCTTTTCCCACGACGGCTACCATCTGTGGTCCAGCCGACCACTGCGCCGGGCAGAGTGCGCCTACGAACTGCTGATGGCCGGCTTCCGTCCGACCGAAAACCGCTACCTTGCCGACGAGATCTTCTCCATCGCCGATCTGGAGATGACCCGCGTCCTCAGGAACTTTGCCATCCCCCTGGAGCGCAGCGCCGAGGCAATGTGCATGCCGGACCCGACGGGCGTGCTGGAGGAGGGCGAGATGCAGTTCCGCTTCAGCATCGAAGGCGTCGTCGACCCGGACACCAAGTTGCGGATCCACCACGTGCCCGAGGGCGATGTCCTTGTGACTCGCCACCCCTGCCTCCTACCCACCGACATCCAAAAGGTCCGAGCCGTGGTCAGGCCGGAGCTGGCCGTCTTCCAGGACGTCGTCGTCTTTTCGACCAAGGGCAAACGGCCGCTGGCGGACCTGCTGAGCGGCGGAGACTACGACGGCGACCTCGTGCGCTGCTTCTGGGACCCGCGCCTCGTCGAGCCCTTTCGCAACGCACCGGAGCACTTTGCCGACCTCACCCCCAAGCTCAAGGCCAGGTTCGTCGACAACAACGTGGCGGTCGCCGACTTTCTCGATCGCCACCGGGACAAGCCGACCGGGGAGCGAGACGACGAGCTGACCCAGCTGCTGATCAAGTCGCTGTTCGCCCGTCAGCTCAAGGGCTTCTACGGCAACATGCACCTGGTCGCGAGCTACCGGTACGGCTGCGACAGCGCAGAGGCCGTCTCGCTCGCCCACACCTTCAACCAGTGCATGGACTCGTCCAAGACGGGCCTCGAGCTCAAGGAGGACGTCTACCGGGCCGACTCGAGACGCTTCAACCTCCAGCTGCCCCCTTGGGGCGTCAAGGACGATGGCCTCGAGGACCTCCGCAAGAGGAATGCGTTCATCTACGATGGCGACCGGCTGCCGACCGTCAAGAGAGCGGCGCGGCTGCCTCCGTGCATCCTCGACATCCTGCACGAGCAGGCACAGAAGCACTGCATCGAGCTCAAGGCACAGCTGCGTCTGCGGCTCAACATCCTGGAAGGTGCTCGCCTGGACGAGGATGTCGCGCTTTCGCGGCCGTGGAAAGAGGCCATGGAGAAGGGCCGCCTCGAGCAACACTTGGTCGACGCCATCTGCCGGCACGTCGACTTTGTGCTCGAGAGCGTTCGCCTGACCAACCGACAATTGGCGAGCGATTACGAGCGGGAGGGCAAGGCTGCCATCGCCGCCGGCGGGCGCGGCGGCAAGGCCGACGTGAGGCGCAAGCCCAAGCAGCGAAACGCGCGAGGCGCCAAGTCGATGCAGAGGACCAAGTCGGCGCCCTTTCCTCCTTCGTCGCAGCGGGACGAGATCGGCGCGAGTGCCGAGCACAGGGGCGGCAGTGGCAAGCTGACGAGGACCCGGTCGGATGCCGGAACTTTGTTCGATGAAGCGCTCGAGAGCAGCGACGACGGCTGGGAGGCTCTGCTGCGCGACCCGTCGGCGCTGGCCAAGATTGAGGAGGTCGAACACGGAGCCCACGCCCGCCTTAGCGCGACGGCCATCGCCGAGCTCGAGGACGATGGCGATGGCGACGACGAGTTTGTCGATGCGCGATGCTACCCTCCGCCGTCGTCTTCGTCGACCGAGGCGGGCGATACGCCCGAGACGTCGATCCTCTTTCCCTCGACCTCCGCCTCTACCTCCGTTTCGACGCCATCGACGGCGGCCGTATCGAGCGGGAGCGCAACAGGCACCCTCATCTCTTCTTCTGTCTCTTCGCAGCTCGCCCCGGTCCCCGGCCTCGCCGACGGGTCGTCATCGTCGACGGAGATCAGCTTTGCCTTCGTCCCTCCAATGGCGCCACGGGCATACGACACGATCGACGAGCTGGTACAGGTCTTCCACGCATGGCCGCTCGAGCTGCAGGGCTACCTGCGCGGGCTGGACCGCGAAGAGGTGGAGCGGCTGCAGCGGCTCCGCGCCTCGTACGCCTACTCGTGGTGCCTGTCGCGGTACAACTGGTCTCCGCACAAGATCCGCGACCTCTTTGAGCTCGCATGGAGGGACTTGCTCGTCCTCAAGGCCAAAGAGACGGGGAGGTCCGTCACCGTCAGAAAGGAGGCGTGGCTGCACTGTAGACTCAAGAAACCCCCGGGTCGTTAGGCGGCGGCGGCGGCGGCGCCGGACGTGGCCTCATCGCGTCGCGTCGTGCCGGCCGACGCTCGATTCCGCGTACCTCTTTTCGTTACGACCATCGTCTAGGCTCGTCTTGATCGCCTTTGTCGTCTTGATTCCTCGGTCGACGTGGGCGTTTCGGGCCCGAGCCACGACGCCGTGTCGCGCCTGCCTTTCAGCACTGGAAGGCCTCCTCCCTCGACCCAGCTATCTTCAGAGGCGGGGTGCCACAGCGGTACACGACCGCCCTGTACTCCGTCATCGAGCCCATTTCGCCCTGCCATGCGCATCCATACCATCGACGTTCCATCGTTCCCCCCTCACTCTGTCCTAGCAAGCTGCCACACCATCCCCGTTCTGACATCCCGGCGTGCCTCTGACAATGCATGGGCTACAGCCCTCTGCTACGCGTCGCTGCACCACGATGGGGGCCAAGTCGGAATCGAGGCGAGGCGGCGCAACGATGATTCCCCCCTCTTTCTGTTGCGAATCCGAATGGGGTGCAGCGCAATGCGCTGCAAGGATGCCTCTACGTGCCGTGCCACCCACCGGTCGTCGAAGCGTCGCTCTTCGTCGCGTCGAAACCAGTTTCGGCGAGCGCGAAAAGGCACACGACGGCCTCGTCGGCGTCCAGAGCGGGGACACTTCGTTTCAGGTGCGCAGCGCCGCGCAGCCCACGTTTCCGGACTTTGTCGGGCGCCGTCCGTGTCGCCATCGAATTGGAACCCGCTCTTCCTCCTCTATAGACACTCGATGCGGGGTTTTGGGGAGGGCCAAAGGGGCGTCTGTGACGAGTCTCGTCTCTATGGAAGTCAAAGTGTGGATCGCGCGCGCTGATGTTCTTGTCTGTCCCTTCCCTCCTGGCCCCTCCTGCCCTCTTTTCTCGCCCGCTCCGACGAACATGGCAATCGCCGCTTCAGTCCCGTTGTTTCTCCTGACGCTGCGACGGCAGGGTGGTGGCGGTGGCGTTGGCGGGTGGAACCGAGCGGCTGGCCTGCTTGGCTGCCGGACGGGCCGGAGGACGCCATCCGCACCTGCGCAGCTCGACGACGGCGCGGATCCACTCCTTGACTTCGTGGGCATACTCGTTGCGCTTGCAGAGCTCTTCGAGCCGGTCCATGGCCTGCTGGAGCAGCCGCGCACCGTCCCTGCCATCTCCGACCGCTCTAGACTGCGCTGCAGAAGGAGTAGTGGCGGGGCCATCGACGCCGGAGCGCCGAATATCGAGACCGCTTGAACGGGCTGCGTGCCGCTTCTCCGGGCTAAAGAGGCTCGCTTTCCGGCCTGGACTCGGAGTCGGCGGGCAGCGGATCCAGTGAGAGGCGGGCGCGCTGTCCTTACGGCCTGGAGAGACTGGGTGGCCAGAAGGGCCGCTGTTGAGGAGTCCCTCGACCGGCAGCGACGACTTCGAGGGCGTCTGGAGAAGGCGGAGGTGGATGCGATCAGCCGGACTGAGCTGGATCGGCGGGCCCGGCCGGCCGTCGCGTTTGGTCCTGCTGTCGCTCTCGAGCGACTGACCGCAGGTGATGAGCAAGGCGCAGGCGCACTCGAGCTCCCACACCGACGGCAGCTCCGGCCGGGCGGTGTCGTAGAGCAGCCGCTGCAGCCAGTCGCGGACGCTGCTCAGAGGCTGCAGGCCCAGCTTGTAGAGCTCGCCGAGGAAGCGCACCGTATCGATCGGCATAAACATGTGCCGCGGGCTGCCGCGTGCCGCCGTCTTGAACTCCATGTCCCTCCGCTCTTCGTTGGTCAGGCCATCCTGCCTGATGCGACGTAGCTTGTCGAGGTGATGCTCCTCCCGGGCCAGGCTTGGCTCGGGAGCCACGCTGAGCTTCCGACGAGGAGCTCCAGATCCGACGGTGAGTCGGCTGACGCGATCGCGGATCAGGTAGCCGCGCTCCAGTGCCTTTTCGAACTCGTTTTGCAAGCCTTCGAGCAAGACTGATGACGGCTTCGGCATGCCCGAGGCGCAGGTGCCCTTGCGGCCCATCGGGTGCTGCGATGATTGAACTCCGGTCCCGTGCGATCCTGGGCTAGCCTTGACGTCCGAGGCGATGGCCGCATCCAGCCGCCTATCAAGCGTGTCGCAGAGTCGCGCCATGGCGGCGGGACCGTGATGCGGCATCATGACGCTGGAGGAGGGGAAGGAGAGACGGCGTCGCCGCAAAAGGGTCAGCACTGCTGGCAATGTGGGCGGTCGTCTTACGACGCGGAAAGTCTCGCATCGCCGTCCTACTCACTCGGCGAGAAGGCAGCTGAACCCACTGACGAGGATGTCGCAGAGCTTCTCCACGGCTTGAAGGTGCAGGAAAGCCTCTGCCGAGGCCTTGCGGGCGCGCAGCTCTTCGTCGGGCAGCGCTCGCTGCATCGGCTCGGAGAGGAAGAGCTGCTCCCCTCGGAGACTTGGCGGCGACATGGCCGAGATGTCTACCACGCCCGCGCGGGGACGAAGGGAAGCGGGGCTTGCCACTTGGAGCTCGCGTCGAGAGGCAAGGGTGATGAGCATGACGAGGCGTTCAAACGTCTTGTCGAGGTGGCGAGGCTGTTTGAAGTTGAGAAAGTCGCTGAGACAATCGTCGATCTCCCTCGATAGCTCGAAGAACGCCCGGGCATCTTGTAGGTTGCGGATCCGGATCAGCAAGGCGAGGCCTTCATCCCACTCGCTGGCGGCGTCCTCGCTCATACTTCCGAAAGGAGCTTCCTCGCCTTGAGAAGCTTCGACGTCGGTGGAAGAAGGCTCATCGACCATAGACATCGCCTCTGAGGATCCGACCTGCGTCGTGCGCGGAAGAGCTGCCGAGGGGAAATGGCGAAGTAGCTGCGCCTCATCTGCGCGATCCTCGAGAAGCTTCGGCTGGAAGTCGAAGAAGGCCCGGCGGAGCAGTTGCGTGTCCGTGCTGGAAGCGATCGATTCGAGCGGAGCGTGGGTGATGCTGATGCTCGGGACGCAGACCTGGCGGATGTCGCGACGGACCATCTGGTATTCGTCGCGTCGCTCTGCGTCGCTGCCGAAAACGACAGACGAAGTGCTGCAGAACATGCGGTCTGTGGACGCGGCCGGGATGCTGATGCCTCTGCAGCTGCACGGAGGGGCCGGGACGGTGCCGAAGCTGATAGGTGGCCGACACGAACAGCTCCGGCTGTCGGCAGCGGGCCGCACTGGTGAAGGCAGGCAGGCGGTTCGCGAGGGGGAACCCGAGTTGCTGATCTTGCTCGCTGAGCCAGGGCGAAGGTCGATTTCTCCCTTCGTCAGAGGCGGCACCGAAAGACGGCTGGAGCTCTTCGATGCTGGCAAAGTCTGTCCTCGGGCGGAGCTTTCGACTGCAGAGGGGCAGAAGAGGGAGGGTAAGCGATGCTGCACCGTCGACTGACCGATGTATGGCGGCTGAGACGTCGACATACCTGAATAGAGCCGTGAAGCGATGTCTTGAGCGACGGGGCCGTCGTCGGAAGAGGATGAAGTTGCGAGCTCGAGAGTGGTGGAGATGTCGTCTGAGGTCATGAGCGGGCTGATTTGCAACGGCGGGCTCAAGGGTCGAATGTCGGCATTGAAGCTCGGGCTGTGCTGCCCTGCAGGGGAAGGTCGGGATGCCGGGTCGAGAGTGCCGGCTGTCGCGCCTCTCGTCTCGGTATCAGCCTGCTGCGAGGAGGCACCCGGGTCTAGGGCGTTCCGAAGCTGTCCAGCTCCGTCGCTGTGACGGACGTTGTCGTATCGCAGGGCTGAGGAAGTGTAGTCGCCTGTCAGTGTGCCTTTGGGTTGGGTTCCACCGTCCCGTGACTCGACTTTGGCGCCCAGCAGCTGAACTCGGACCTCGGCGGCCTTTGCATCGCCCAGCGGGTGCGGGGTCCTGTACTGGAGCGGATGGAGTTGGCTATCGTTGTCGATCCGGGGAAGAGGAGAGATTGGAGCTAGGTGACGGTCAGCCTCGGTCGGTCCGTCGTCCGATGAGCAGAGCACCAGGCTTGAGGGGGGGTCCGAGGGCTGTGGCTGCGTCTGCTGAGGATTCGACGGGCCATCAGCCCGGCTCGCCTTGCTGTTGCTCGCCTTGCTGAAGCGAAAGGACAGGGGGATCGCCTTGCGAGTGGTGGGGGCCGGTGCGATGATGCGTGATGGCTTGACGTCCACAATGTCCGAATGCACGGCGGCCTTGATCTGGAGCGGGTCTTGCAGCCCGACTAGCATACCTCCATGCGGCAGAGGAGCGATGGGAGGCGGAGCAGCAGACGTGAGAGGTCTTTGTGGCGCCACGAAGAGGTTGCGAAGCGAGGGTCGAGGCTTGGATCGAGCCGGAGTGACGGCGCCGACCTGGCCGCGCGCGGTAGTCTGCTTGGCGTCGCCATGCTCGTCGAGCCTAGCGCGGCGGCCTGGAGCCATGTGTGAGGCTCGGAGCGGGCTGGAGCTGATCTGATGGGCCGTCTTGGTGAGGAGGGGCAGCTTGCTTCGACCGGTGTGGGTCGATGGCGTGATGGTAGTGCGGCGGACCGGACTCGAGGAAGAGAAGTCCAGGGGTCCCCTGGCTACCTCCATCTTGCCCGTGCGGGGCGGTTCAGCCCGTGCCGTGTATGCGCAGAGGATGGGTGTCAGAAATCGCCGTGCGAGATCGATGGAGGCTGTGCAAGCGCTGATCTGGAGCGTGGTGGAGAAGGCGGGCAGGCGTGTGCAGGGTTGGGAGCAGGGAAGGACTGGAACGGCAAGACGGGGAGCGAGGTAGGGACAGTTGGGGTCAGGCTGGGAAAGGCGAGCACGATGAGGGAACTGGACAAGTGGAAGAAGAGAAGAGGGAAGGGGGAACAGGGAAAGGGTGGGTCCAAGAGCGACGATCTGGCCAAGATGCGGGTTGGTGGTCGAGCAGAGCAAAGGAGAAAGCCAGAGAGAGAGGCGATCAAGGTCGTGCGACGATGCGGCGGCGTGCTCGGCGTAGCGTAGACGCTCGTCACCCTCCTGGCTCTGCTCTTGGAGCGTGTCGGTGGTTTTGAACCTGCGGGCTGGTAGCAGCAAGCAAGGGTGCCGACGCCGTCCGGGAAGCCTCGCCGACCAGCGCAGCCCAGCTCAGCCTAGCCTGGCGTGCGTGGGGTTTTGTTGGCAGGCCGGCAGGTCGAGGCCTAGACATCCGTACCCGACGTGACAACCCGACCCGGCATCGGACAGAGCAGTGCATACCCTGCCTGAGCTGCTGTCGCTGTCAGAGCAGCGGCGGTACAGAAACAAGCAAGCAGCAAGCAAGCAAGGGTGCAGCGCGGTGCAGCGCTTTGCAGCGAGTTTCCAGGGGGGTGGTAGTAGGGTGAGGTGTGGGACGATTCGACGTCGATGGTCGGTGGTGGTATTGATGGCGGCGGTGGTGGTGGTGGTGGTGGTGGTGGTGGTGATGCAGCCAGCAAGGGGCTCGACTGTGCGCCCGCCAAACGCTTGAGTGCCTGCATGCCGAGAGGCCAGCCGTACAGCCTGGCGGTGCGTGATACCTGTTGGCTGGCTGGCTGGCTGGGCAGCACGTCGCTGTAGGCCCTTGCTTGGCCGTCGGTGTGGCGGTGCTCGACTGCTGCAGGTCGAGGGCGTGCTTGACGCAGCGAAGCCAGCCGGCCTGGAAAAAAAGGTACGGTACGGTGCGCTGCAGAACGATGGCTGCCCTTGTTGGCCTGGTGGCGTTGGCTCGTGATAGCGTCCGTCCGAGTGTGGCTGCATCGGCCACCCTGCACGGCCTCTCCAAATCATGTCGCTCGAGCTCGACGATACGAGGTAGGCAGGCAACCAGGCTTGGGCGGTGCGTCGCTCGGCCTCGGCGAGACCAGCTGGCCCCTAGCCTAGCCTGGCCTGGCCTGCCACTCGTTCGGTAGGCTGCTCGTCTACCCTACCCTACCCGGCCCTACCCTAGTCTTCTCCGTCAAGCCACGCTCGCCCACTCGACTCAAGGCGCGACCGTTGGCATGCATGCACGCACCACCGTATCTCCTCGATCGGTCGGTGGATAGGGGTTAACTTGGCTCCATCCAAATTTTCCTTCGCGCGCCGCCGCCGCGATGCTCCTCGACAACGAGCCGCCGACCCGTTCTCACGACTATCTGCCTCGATGCCCCATCGTCCCCGTTGACCAAAGCGATGGACCCTGCCGCTGCTCTGAAGGCCACAGAAACTTGCAACGCCAGATCCGAACGATCGTCGAAGCCAAGACGATGTCAAAGACTCGGGTGCGGCCAGCCAAGGCGAGGTCGTGGCTCGTCTTGCACTTGCAGCGTCTCATCCGGCCGCGCAGGCGATCGCCAACCCTCGCCTCTCGGATCAAGGTGCAGGACCTGCTCGATGTGTACACACACGGCGCCGAGACACGCAGACACACACCCGGCTCGCATCATCGGAAGCGGTAACACCAAGTGGCGCTCTGCAATTCCCTGCCTGGTCCGTCGGTACGCATCGTCCGTCGATCTCTCATCCACCTCCTTCTCCATCCAAATACCGCCACCCTCGACGACGCGGTGCCGACTGTCCCGCTGTCCGGTCCATCTCCCTGGGCCTACAGGGCAGCCTGCCAGCCTTGGAAGATGGCCGAGAGGTTACCGGCGTCCATGGCCTGCTGGATGAGCTCGTTGACCGTGTACTCGACGCTCAGGCTCGACGAGAGCTTGGTCATGACCGACGTAATGGCCCGGTCGGCGCTCAGCTCCGCCGTGTCAATCGTCATGAGCGACGTGGCAGAGGGATTAGGCGGCGGCGGCGGCGTAGGCTCGACGCTAGGCGCGGCACCGCGTCCGTGGTCGCTCCTCCTGCCGCGGCCTCGCGCTCCCATACCCACCGCGCTCTCATCCCCGCCACCGCCGTTTGTCTCGTCGTCGTCGTCGTCGCCGCCGCCGCCCGCAGCACCCTGCGCCTTGAGCACCTTGATCGGGTTCGACGTCCATACAAACAGCGGATCGTGCTTGAACACCTCGAGCACCGTCTTGACCACGTCGCGGCCGTCGCGCAGCACCCGCAGCGTCTCCTCGCAGCACCGCCGGTACGTCCCCTCGATGCCCGAGAGGCCCATGCCGTCGACCAGGTCGCGCGTCAGCCGGAACGGCACCAGCTCCGGAATCGGCAGCAGCTTGCCCTGTCGTCGTGGTAGCAGGCGGTCGGCGAGAAGGGTAGACCACAAGCGCGCGCGCGAGGTGGGGAAGGGGGCGGGCAAGAGCAATCTGTGTCAACACTGCACCCGTCTCGACCGCGGCGTCCCGCGCCTCTGCAATCTCACCTGGTCAAAGGCCACGCCAAAGTCGATGTGGACCAGCTCTCCGCTCTGCTTGTCGAGGAGGATGTTGGACACGTGGCGGTCGCCGAGTCCGAGGATGTGGCCGACGATCGACGTCGTCGCCGCGCTCCGGGTATAGTTGAGGCGCATGGCGAACCAACTGGGCGGGTCCTTTTGGCGCTCGGTGAAAAAGAAGCGGAACGCCGGCGGCATGCGCTCGCACACGTCGAGGAACACTTCGAGCTTCTGGCTCGCCGTCAAGCCCTGGGCCTCGCGGATCCGCGTCCGCGCCTCCATCGGCGACATGTCCTTGGGCCCGTACTGGCCGTGCATTCGGATCAGCACCTCGCCGATGGGCACCGTGTTGGTGACGAATTCGAGCAGCCCACACTGCGGGCCGAGCGGGATCACGGCGTACGTGCGGACCGTCAGGCGCCGCTGGCTGGCCTTGCGGTCGCGATCCAGCAGGCCGTTGACCAGCCGGAACACCTGCTGCATGACGGCGTCCTGCCGCAGATCGTCGTCGCGCTTAAACTGGCGGAGTAGGCGGGCCGATGCAGGTGTAGGAAGATGCGCGCGAATCAGACAGGGGGGCACGAGCATGAGATTGGCATCATCATCAGGCCAGCAGGCGACCAGGCCCGGCTCCACTACCAACAGGCGCACCACTCACCAGCTGCTTGTACCGCTTGCCGTCGCTGCCGATGCACTCGTTGATCTTGGGGAGGTGGATGCCGCCGGCCGTGGTGAACGTCTCGCTGTAACGCACAATCGAGACAATGTCGCGGTACTCGCACGACCGGTCGATGGGCACCTCGGCCGTCGCCACAGGCACATCGACGTCGCGCAGCCGGACCAGCCTGAGCTCCGAGGCGGGCGGCATGCGGAGCGGACCGCGCTTGATCGCGCCGTTGGGCGTAAAGTACCGGCTGAACTGCTGGGCAAGGTTGACTTCGGCCCACTCGACATAGGCCTGGCAGACTTCGTCGAAAACCTGCAGGCGCCGCCGGAGCCGGTCCGTCGTCCGGACACGCACCCAGATCGATTCGGCCGCCATCGACCTCTGTCGCTGCGACGACTCGGCGCCCTGCGAGGCCGACACGTCGCGCCGCTCGCTGGCCTTGGCGTCCTTGCCCGCCTTGAGTAGCGCGAAGAGCGCGTACAGCGTGTGGAAAGGGTGATCGCGGCACACGCGCAGCACCAGATCCGAGAGGTTGGTCTGGAACGTCGACAAGCCCTTGCCTGCGGATCCCTTGGCGGTCGAGAGGCGCGCAGAGAGCTGGTGCGTGAGCGGTATGAACTTGTGCGAGGGAATCTGCGGCAGCGTCGCCGAGAGCGGGCGGTTGGCGTTTTCGTCAAACGCGTTGTCGAACCACAGCGACGTGAGGCGGCCGACGGCATCGTCATAGCGGTCCGACATGGTGAGCGAGCGCGAGTACATGGCAATGGCCCTCTGCAGAAAGAGGGTGCGCGCCGACTCGAGCTCCTTGAGGTGGTTCTCGTCCTGACGCAGGATCTTCTCCGCCTGCCGCTGGAACTGCATCAGCCGCTGCTTGAGGCTCCGCGAGACCGTCCGGTCGCTCTCGACCTGGTTCTGGCGGATTTCCTCCTTGCGGCGGTCGATGTACACCTTGAGCCGCTCAATCTCTTCGGCGTCGACACCGCGGTACTGCTCGTCTGCGAATTTGGCCCATTTGTACGCCACCTTGGCCTGCTCCTCGGTGCTTTGTGCGTGTCCGCTGCTCTGCGCGACCATGAGCTCGAGCGCAGGCTTAAACAGCGTCGTGTCGATGGCCCGCGGCTGCTGCGATCGCGCCGTGGCTCGCCACTCGCCCTAAACGCCATCGCCATCGTCAGGCCATGGTCAACGGTCAGCGCTGCATTCGACGTGCAGGATCGACGATGACCAGAGCGGAAAGACTCACCAGCCTCGCCATGAGCACAGCCTTGCGGTACCTCGAGCGGACTGCCGACTTCTCGCCAACCTGGAAGGCCTCGATGATGGCGCCGAGCGACTCGAGCGCGAACGCATGCTCGCCCTGCGCCCAGAGGACCGAGGCAAACTCCTCATCGGTGAGGTTCGATTTGTCCGACAGCGCCGCCTGAAGCCGCTGCGCCTCGGAGGTGGCATTGATCGAGACCTGGATTCGGCCCTGCTTGCGTGCGGCAGCGCTGAGGCAGATCATCATCGACCTCTCGAGCCTCATCGATTCCTCGGCAGCAGGGGAGAGCAGATTGCCGATCTCGTGGAGCTGTCCACGGGTCCGCTCGGCCTGCAGGATCGACTGACGCACCGACAGCACCCGCTCGTGGCACTCGATGTGGAATGTCGGCCGGGGCTCGGCCCAAAAGGCGGTCAAGTGGGCGACAGCCTCCTCTGCGCCGAGTTGCGAGGCAAGCTGACGCCACTCCCGCACCTCGTGGAGGCTCAAGAGATCGAGCTGGACCTTCCGGACATCGTTGATCGCCTCCGGCTTGGCGCCGGCGAGCCCCTCTAGCTCCCGTGCGAATCCTCCGGCCACTGCTCGATCAATCGATGCGCCCGAGCGGTCGCGGTGAAGCGCCTTCAGTGCAGCGTACGTGCCGCGGCTAGTGCCTGCGACATAAGGGTCGCTGCATGGGAGGTCCCAGGAGCCCATCCTCCACGCCATGTCGTACTGGAATCCGCCGTACTGCGGGCCCGCGGCGCCGAGGACCGGCGCGCTTGAGGCCGGAGTGGCGGGGCCTTGCAGCATCGAGGCCAAGCGGTTGAAGCCAAGCATGTGGAAGTCTTTGGCGACCAGCTGGCCGATCCCCTTGCCGGCGGACTTGAGCAGGGTGGCCGACGCCTCGTATGCGGCGGCGTGCAGCTGCAGGGCGCGATGCCACTCGCCTTCGTGATGGAGCCGACGAGTGAGCGACTCTTGGATATCGGCGTTGACGACGCCGTAGAAGCCGTCCGGGTCCTCGACGTTGCTGTAGGCGTCGTAGAGAAGCGACGAGATGGCGCCCTGTTTGGCCTCGGCGTCGCTGGCGTCGGTCGAGTGCTCAAAGTAGAGCTCGACGAAGAGCAACGCCGCCGTGTACATCTTGCAGTCCAGGCCGCGGCGGGCAAGGAGGAGAAAGTCGATGTCGAACCACAGATCCGAGGAGGTCGGGTCGCTCTCGAGAACACTCCATCTACGAACATGCAGCAGGCCCTCGATGATGGCGGACCAGGCGCGTGGATCGGAGCCATCGCTCGTCAGGACCTCGCGGAAGTGGCGTGCAATCGCCTCTCTGGAGGCGTCGAGGTGGCGGATCACCTCGTCGCCGCCCTCGCACGACTCGTCGGCGGTGCAGAGCTGCAGCAGAACGGGCAGCACCCGGCTCGCAATCTCGGCTTCGCCCTCGACGAGGCCCTGGATGTGGTGAAAGAACGTGCTCGTCGACGACTTGATCAGCATGTGGCTGATGATGCCAGTGATCTTGCGGATCCAGACCTCGAACGCCGTGGCCGAGGCTACGAGGGTGGGATCCTCCAGCTCCCTTGCCGACCGTGTCGGCGCCGAAGGTTCGGGCGCCTCGAATGCGGCGAGGAACGTGAGCTCTTCGTAAGCCTGGTTGGGCCACTTGGGCAGCGCGGCCGTCAACGTCTTGGCGAGCGAGAGGATGCCGCGCAGGGCGACGTAGGCTTGCTCCGCCGGCGTGATGCTTCGGCCTCGGAGGTGCTGGAGGACGATGAAGATCGTGACGGCCTGCAATGCCCGGCTCGGATTCTTGAGCGACATCGTCGACTCGAGAGCGGCGTGCACTTCGGACGATGGCAGGCTCTGCATCGCGCCGAGGCCTGGTGTCTGGAGGCGGCCCTCGCAGATGTTGAGCATCTCCGAAAGCGCCTGCCCCATCTGGGCAAGCTCATCAATCCGCTGGCCTTGAAGCTCGTCCAACCGGAGGCGCTCAAAGAGCAGCCAGACCGTCGACCGCGCAAATGCCTGCCGCTCCTCGGCCGAGGCTGCCTTGAGGCTGACGCGCAGCCGGTTCAGCACGGCCGCCGTCACGCGCACATCGGGGCATCGCTGGAGGGCGGCAGCGATGTCTCGAGGTCTAGCATCGGCCGGCGCGAGCGACTTGAGCTGCGGAGGGATCTCGTTGGGCCACATGTGCAACGCCAGCCGGACAGCCTCCGATGCCGGCGGCAGCGCAGCGATGGTCGTCTCGGCCCACCGGCAGGTGGAGCTGGTGGCCCGGGCGGTGTCCATGATTTCTGCCGGGCCCTCGTCCGGTCCGAACGCCGCAGTGCGCGCGAACTCCGTAAGGATCGAGGCCACGCGCGCCTGAAGCCAGTCCTGCTTGGCACACGCCGAGATGGCCCAGCTCGCCAGCGAGAGCGCCGCTTCGTGGACGGATGGCTGATCGACCAGGAAGCCGATACCCTGCAGCAGCACGTCCAACAGCCGCGGACTGGAGCTGACTCCTTCGGCGCACATGGCAACGTACAGCTGGACCGCCTGAACATAGCGTCGCTGGTCGTTGACGAAAGGCGCGTTGCCGATCCGGAAGAACGTCTGCCGCAGCACGTGATAGGCTACCTCGGTGCCGGTGGGGTCGACGCCGGACTCGGCGAGGACGAGGATTGCCTCGTGCACCGTCGTCGCGGCGAAAAAGGGCCGATTGGGCTCGTGCGCGGCGATGCGGCGATCCTGAGACCCGATGGTCGGCGCGATGAAGATGAGGTTGCGGTGTGTAGCTTCGTCCTTGATCCGCAGGCTCTCCGGAAACGCTGTCGACGATGCCGGCTCGTAAAACATGGCGAGAAGAGCGGTCACGACCTGATCGGCGATGGACGTGACCAGCTGTAGCATCTGCGCCGCGTCTACGTCTGCGCCTACGTCGGGATCCCACTGCTTGATCGTGTCGAGGACGCGCGCCCACAGCGCTGCCCTGGAGCTTGTCGGCGCACCCTGCGCTTCCTCGGCTGCGAAACCGAGCTCGCTGGCAGCCAGAAAGGGCAGGCACTCGCGGATGCCCTCCTTGACCGTCTTCCGCGCCGTCCGGGCCATGGTGGCAAAGTAGTCCCTGCCGGACCCTTGGTCCGAGGCCAGCAGCATCGCCCCGCTCTCCCGGAACGTCTGCTCGATGCACTCCTTGCGCGAGCGGAAGCCGAGGATCTTGTAGGGCACCTTGAGCGGGTCGTACGAGTTGCCCACCATGCCCCACGTGATCTGCCCAGCAAAGCACTTGAAGAGCTGCCGAGGACCCGCAAAGCCAAGCCTCGCCGCAATCTCCTCAAACGCGCGCCTCAGCGTGGGCTCGAGCGAGCCGGTGGCGAGAAAGATCTCGAGCAGGTGAAAGAGCGAGACGTTGCGCAGCGACGAGCTCGAGATTGTCACGTTGGAGAGGCAGAGGACGCGTGTGGCGACGTTTTCGCGCTTGGCATGGTCGAGGGGCAGCCGCTCCTTGAGCTTCTCGTAGAGGGCGGCGAAGCCGTCGTCGTCGCGGTCGAGGTGGTCAAACAGGCCCGCGGTGATCGTCGCGCCCGAGGCCCGCACGCGCACGTCGGCGTCGCAGTTGAGGTGGAGCGCGGCCTCGGACGGCGGGCACCGGCTGATCAGCTCCTCGTCGTCGTTGATCCAGAGGCGCTCCTGGGGGTCCGCCTGGATATAGTCTGCGATGAACTCGGCGGCCCGGCGGCGGGTCTTCCAGGGGGAACGCCACTTTTGCTTGGTGACCTGCTCCGTGAAGAAGACGCAGAGCTTGCGCAGCTTGTCGAGCAGCTCGGTCGTCAGGCGCTTGCCGCCAAGCCACATCGGCATCGTCGCGGACACCAGGTCAATGGCCAGACATCTCGCCCTCTGGTCGCGCGCAAAGTGGTAGGAAGTCAGCAGATCCGATCCGATCTGGTCAAGCAGGTCGATGACGTCGCGCAGCGTCAGCCAGAGGCATCCGCTCGACACCGCCGCGACCAGGCTGGGACCGAGCTTCACCAGCGAGTCGAGGGACCCTTCAAACATGAGGTTGACCAGGCGCTCGTCTTGGGTCGGCTCATCGCTCCCCGCGGCCAGCTTCGGCGCCTGGACCAGAGCGGCCACGCACAGCGCGATGAGGTCCTGGGAGTAGCCCTTGGCCGCCCCCTGTTCGCGTTGAGATCGAGACGTATCGTGCGACGCCATCCTCGCCGTGCCGATAAAATCGTCGTCGTTATCGTCGTCGTCGATCGTGGCGCGGACATCGCCGCCGCTCGATTCGCCCCTGCTCAGGCTTGCGTTCAGCGATGCCGGCTGCGAGGCGTCGACCGTCCCATCGGTGAGGTCATGGTGGACCGAGTTGTAGAGAGATTCCAGTAAAGGCTTCAGGCCCTGCGCCGAGAGCAGCGTTCGCCAAAAGCCCGTCGCGAGCGCCTGCTTTGCAGCAGCACTCAGCGCTGGCATTTGCGCGCTCCGCTTTTTCGACGATCCAGCGTTACGCACTCCAGCCCTGGGTCCGGGCTGCACCAGGAGGACGTCGCTCGACGTCGGACTCGCTGAATCGGCGAGAGGCAGCGGCAGAAGAGGGGCTAGCGCCTGCAGAACCGACAATCGCTCGGCCGGCGTCCAGTCGTGCCGGCCCAGAACGAGATTGACGGTGTGGTTGAGGAGCTTGGCGGCAGCGCTCGCCATCGCGCCCAGTGCAGCGATGCGCCTCTCTGCAAGCACCGCGTGGAATGCAAGGGCAAGCAGCGCCAAGTCGAGCAGTGTTGCTGCTTGCTCGGGTTCGAGCGACTTGGCCAAGCTCTTCTCGCTCGAAGCCGATGGCATCATCGACGCTGCTGCATCGGCCCCCGACGGCATCAGAAGCGCATTGGCGCAGAGTACGCCTCGCTCCAAGGCGTTGCAGATGCGGCGCTGCTCGGTGTTCATCGGCGACAGCTGCGGTGTCGATTCTCCCGACGCGTCCCCGGGAGGCGTGACCTTCGCCTCGTCGGGCAACGGCGACGTCGTGCTGCCTGATGGGCGTCGATCCGACTGCACCCTCTGGAAAAGCAGAAAGTTGCGCAGGCTGTCGAGCTCCTTTTCGTCGGCGATGCTGGCCGTGAGGTCCGTATGCCTGGTGTGCGCGTTGAACGCCGAGTAGGCGAGGCCCGGGGCGGCGTGGTCGACGCAGGCCGAGAGGAGTGCAAGCAGATCCGTCCACTCGAGGTCGGAGCTCCGCGGCGGCACGTGCCTCATGGCGAGCACGACGCCCGTCCGCCAGATGACCAGAAGCCAGTCCAGCACCTTTGGGCGGAGATTGAGCGAGAAGAGCTGCGCGTCTCTGCTAGCCCGATCCAGAGCCGCCACGAGAAAGTCTGAGCTCGAGTCGCACAGCACCGAAGGCCCAAGGGCGTGGATCTCGGCGAGGATGGAGCGCAGGTCCGCCAGCACCGTCGCTTCCGGCATCCTTGACGAGCGAAGCAGCGTCGAGAGCAGGTGAGCGGCCGGACGCGTCACGGGAGCCGATGGCAAGCGTCGGCAGGCCAGCGTCCACGCCTGCGCCAAGGCGGCATCAACGCCGGCGGCGACGGTGGTGTCGTCCGATGCTTGATCGTGGCTCTCTTCGGGCTGTCGATCCGCAGGACAGTGCCGGGCAACCTCGGCAAGGCAGACAAATGCCCAGGACTGGATCACTGCGTCCGCGTTGCTGGCAAGGCCCAAGACGGTCTCGGTCAGGCCTCTGCGGACTGCCGCGTCCAGCTCCGGCCAGCGGTCGATGACAAAGAGGACGAGCTGCAGCTGCCAGAGCAGGGAATCTTGGCCCTTGCTTCCGGTGCGCAGCGACGTCGACCGCCTCAGGTCGCTCAAGAGCGCGCCGATCAGGGCCGATCCGGTCTTGCTCAGGACCACGCCGGTCCCAGCTCGTCGCCTCTTTGTCGAAGATGGGGCGTCTGGCGTGGTCCGTCTGCGTTTGGTCGGAGACTGAGTCGCCGTCGTCGGAGGCAACTCGTCCGTGTCGTGCACCACCGAGGGCTCGCGCGAGCTTGGGTCCTGGGTCGCGGCGCTTCGCCGAAGCTGCAGCTGCAGCTGTTCCGGAGGCGGCGGCAGCAGCCCGATCAAGGCGGTCGCGTTGAGCTCGAGGATGGCCCACGCCAGGGCATCCGACTCGGAGAAGGCAGCACCCTGTCGCAGCGTGAGGAGCTCGTAGGGCCTTCGTCGATCGGCAGGTTCCGAAGGTTTGAGCCTGAGGCTGGTCAACGTGATGGGCCGCGACCCGGATCGACTCTCGTGCTCGCGGAGAATGGAGCGGTGCAGGTCGACGAGCGTCATGCGGGCATCGTCTTGGACTGCAGGCAGCGTGGCCTTCTCGGCCGCGGGGCATTCATAGGTGGGGCTCAGGCAGCTCGACACGACGGGAACGAGGATGCGCCAGCAGATGACGAGCTGCTCCTTGAGCTGGCGATTCTTGGTGTGCCAGAGCGCCAAGAGGGTCCTGGATGCGCGGCTCGAGAAGCGGATGACGTCTAGGGCCTCGTTGAGCTCGAGCTCCCTGAGCAGCCTGTTGAGTCCGGCGAGGGCGGGCAGGTGGCTCGAGGTCTCGACCGGGTGGCGTTCGAGGAAGGCGGCGTAGCGGTCCAAGAGGCTGAGGCCGCAGCTGTCGTCGCCGCGCAAAGGTGCGGTGGGCGACGCGACGAGGTGGTGGAGGCAGACCATGTGCTCGACGTCTTCGAGGCCGAGCGGGCGGTTAGTGGGCTGGGCGGGGGGCGTGTGCTGGGCGAGGGGCGTGTCGGGGTCGTCGCCGAGGACGACGTTGGAGCATAGCTGTGCGACCATGGACCACTCGTCGACCTCGAGGTGGTCGACGTGGGGTGGGAACTGGAGGATGGTCGAGAGGGCCTTTAGGTAGGACATGGAGACGGGCTGGAAGACGGCGCCGTTGTGGACAAACATCTGCACGATGTGCGAGAGGATGGCCTTGATGGCCCTGCGGTTGAGATGGCGTACGGAGCGCTCGACGAGCTGGCGAAGGGCGTATGCGGCGTCGCGGAGGCGCGAGAGGGCGATGGGCTGGGCGCTGGCGATGGAGCCCTTTTTGAGGCAGGTGGCCCTTTCGATGACGACGCAGGCAAAGAGGGACTGGAAGGTCTTTAGCCAGGGCTTTCCGTCGCCGCGCGGATCGAGGTTTGCGACGTTGGCTGGGTCGGCGAAGATCTGATCGAGGTTTGCGAGTGCATTCTGGCGGTCCTTTACCCTTTCGGAGCGGAGCTGCTCGAGGGTGTCTTGGAGGGAGACGACCATGGTTGGGGATGAGTTGGCCGGGGGGTTCGAAGGGGGATTGGGTATGGGTTGGGTGGCGGTTGGGATGGCGCTGGAGGCGGCTGAAAGCGCTGTCCGGCTCGAGGGCACTGCCTAGGTGGAGCCGGTGGAGCGGCCCAAGCCGGTGGACCAGGTGCGGCGAGCGCGCATTCGGGATGGCGGGATGACGTGGGCCTGGATGTGACAGAGGCAGAGGCGGAGGCAGAGAAGAAAAGGAGAGGCGATGAGGCGGATTGAGAGGGTGGAAGCAGGAAGACGAAGAGAAACCAGCCGCCGTTGAACACTACACTCACTTTGGCCCCAAAGGTGCCAAGGGCGGTCGAGGAAGCCAAGGCGACCAAGAAGGCGGGCGTGATTGCGGCTGGGGGGAGCTTGAGCTTAAGTGGGCGGAGCGGGTGGGCGAGGGCGAAGCTAGGGAGCCAGAGCAAGAGAGAGAGAGAGAGAGAGAGAGAGCACGCGGGTGACCCGGTGGCAAGAAGGAAAGCAGCCAGTGAGGCCAGCTCAACCAGGGCTCAACCCGACCTGGCTAACTGCTGGGGCCTTGGTGTTGGTCTCGGCGGCGGGCCGACGCCGGCAGGGCAGCAGGCCAGAGGCTAGGCCTAGGGCTGTGCTCGCCGCCAGACCCAGGCCACGCGCCCTCCACACCTTCTTCTTGGCTGGCTCTTCTCCCTGCCTCTTGGCCAAAGCGGCGGCGGGGGAACGGCCCTCTTTTCCATCCCTTCGACCACCACCCTCCTCTCCTCTCCTCGCTTCCCCTGTCCTCGCCTCTCTTCTCGACTCCCCTCTCCTCGCCATCACCGAGCAACCAGCCCTCCTCTTCCTCTTCGTCCCCGTCTCACACACCTCCTTCCAGACTGCCCCTGCTTCCCGCCCTCGCCCAGGCAAAAACACCGCCCAACATGGCCACCACTTCAACAACACCCCCGAGCGCCGCCCAGCACGAAATGGACAACGTCGAGATCGGCATCATTGGCATGGGCGACATGGGCCGCCTCTACGCCCGCATCTTTCGTGACGCAGGCTGGAAACGGTGAGCACCCATCATCGCCCAACCTAGACCGTTCCCCCTCCCGCGTCCCTCGCCCATCCTCACCCTCACTCCTTGGGCCCTCCGCCCCGCCTCGCCTCTCCCCTGCCCCAGGATCAACGTCTGCGATCGGCCAGAAAATTACGCCAAGCTCAGCGCAGAATTCAAAGGTGACGCTGCTGCACCTTCCACTCCACCGCCCTCCTCGATCCTTCGTCTGGTCACTCGCCAGCTGACCTAGGCTCCATGCACCTTTCGGTACCCTCCCGTCCCCCCTTGCCCCGCACAGATTCTGGCATCACCGTACACCCCGATGGCCACCACGTATCCAGAAGGAGCGACTACATCATATACTCGGTCGAGGCCGCCTACATCGATGCCGTCGTCGAGCAGTACGGCTCCTGTGAGTGCCACGGGCCACTCAGCCCCATGTTGCGCCTCGCTCTTTGTCGCTGCACCGCACCGCACTGCAATATGCTGCTGCTCGCTGCGCCAGTACCCAAGCCCGCACGCTGACCGATCCCTGGTCGCTCTCCTCGCCCACAGCGTCCAAGATGGGCTCCATCGTCGCCGGACAGACATCCGTAAAGGCACCCGAGAGGGCCGCTTTTGAAAAGCACCTCCCCGACGACGTCTACATCATCTCGTGCCACTCGATGCACGGGCCCAAGGTCGACCCCACCGGCCAACCCCTGGTGCGTCATCCGACCCGCTTTCGCCAGCGTCTACCAGCTGGGGCGATGCGGACCCGCTCTGACCGCCGCCGACCAGACCCGCTTCCCCGCCCGCGTTGACCCCTTCCTCGAACCCCGCACCGCAGATCCTGATCCAGCACCGTGCGCCAGACGAAAAGATGCGCCTCGTCGAGCGCATCATGGCCGCCTTTCGCTCCAACTTTGTCTACCTCTCCTACGAGGAGCACGACACCGTCACCGCAAACACCCAGGCCGTCACCCACGCCGCCTTTCTCTCGTGAGTGCGCCGGCCCGCCTGCCCGCTGCTGTGGGTCTGCATCGGTGCTCGCCCCGACTGTGTCTGATGCTGATGATGATCATGCTTTCGTGGCTCCCGCCCGTCTCGTCCCCCGTGGCTGCCTCTTCCGAATCGCCTCTCCGTGCAGCATGGGCACTGCGTGGGGCTGCTCGAACCAGTACCCGTGGGAGAGCGAGCGGTACCCGGGCGGCATCGAGACGGTCAAGATCAACATCTGCCTGCGCATCTACTCGGCAAAGTGGCACGTCTACGCCGGCCTGGCGCTCCTCAACCCGTCGGCAAAGACGCAGGTGACGCAGTACGCCAAAAGCTGCACCGAGCTCTTCAAGCTCATGGTGGCCGAGCGCGAAGACGACCTGGCGCGCCGCGTCTTTGCCGCGCGCCGCGGCGTCTTTGGGTGGGACGACGACGAGGACGACAGCACCAGCGTCAAGACAAAGAGCAGCGGGTCGCGCGTCGAGCGCAAGCCCATCCTGATGAGCGACACGATGCTCGATCGCTTCCACATTGCCGCGCGCAGGGCGGCCGCTGCCAAAGGCGAGGCGGCAGCAAAGAGCCCGACGACAGCGGCGAGCGGGACATCCGTCGACGCGCACTTGGACGCCACGTCCGGTCCGACGCCGGCGGCCGCGTCGCCGCCCAACTCGCACCTCTCGCTGCTGGCCATTGTCGACTGCTGGCACTCGCTGGGCATCAACCCCTACGATCACCTCGACCTCGCCGCGACGCCCGTCTTCCGCATGTGGATCGGCGTGTGCGAGTACCTCTTCCGCTCGCCCACGCGGCTGCGGCAGGCGTGCCGGGCGGCGGCGCGGGACCACGACTTCCGCGCCGACGACACCGAGTTTGTCATTGCCTCGCGCGGCTGGGCCCAGGCGGTCCAGTTTGGCAGCTTTGACAACTACCGGCGCCGATTCGAGGAGACGCGCAGGTTTTTCGAAAACCGCTTCGACGAGGCCAGCGTCGTTGGCGCCGAGATGCTCAAGGTCGTCCTGGCCGGGTGAGGGGACGCGATGGGATGGAGAGGGGTGAGGGACTGCAAAGGCAGGAAAGCAGGTCTAGTGAATTCCCAGGCGGACGACGAAAGGGGCCGGCCAGAGTCTAAAGGCCGGGTCAATGGGGCGGCCGGGCCAGGCCAGTCCGCGAAGCGGTGAAGGCAGGTTGGCCGGCGGGCTGACTCGGGCGCGCGCGCGAGGCGCGTCATTCGCCCTCGAGGACCCAACGTTGCAGTCCGTCGCTGGCGCCCCAGATGCGGTCGAGCATGACAATCTGGATCCAGGATTGGAGCGACTTCCGGCGCGCCTCGAGGTACCTTGGGTCGTACTTGTGCAGCAGGCCCTTTCGCTTCGACGGCAGGGGGGGCAGATACCTCGCTTGGTCCTGCGCGGGTCGCGACCCGCGCAGCACAGTCGTGTGCGTGGCGAGATGGGGGAGAGGGGGAGGGCGTGATATCAGTCTGGGGCATCTCTTCCTCTGACGACTTGAGGAGCTCGTCTTCTCACCTTGATTTCGTTGCAAAGCACCTGTCGTAAGCGGACAAAGGAGCTGAACCTTCGGAAAATGGTAATCGTCGTTCCCTGGATGCATCGTCGTACATGGCAAGGGGGAAGCGAGCGAGGTCAGCCTCTCGTTGTCGTCGGTCGTCGAAAGGCCCCGAGCTCGTTTTCCATGCTGCACTTTCTGCGTGCAGGCAGGCGACAGGCGACTGAGCGAGGGCGGGGCGGGCCGACTCACCTGTTTGGAAATGATGCGGATCTCAAATACGACCCAGCCTCGCGCCTGGGATCCGACCTGCTTCCAGCCTCGTATTGCTACATCCCTCGCAAACCTCTCCCCGTTTCCACCGGTAGAGGTGGCATCTTCGGACCTCCCACGCCCACCCCTTCTCCTCCTCGAATTGGACGAGATCGATCCACCGCCGCCGCTGCGTCGTCGTTCGAGACTCGATGCCAGACTGGCGGAATGCGACGACGACGTGATGGTAGAGACTGGTAGCGAGAGGAGCGAGGCGGGCAGCGAGTCGAGAGAGGCCCTCTCTCCGTCCCCACCCTCGTCGTCGTCGTCGTCGTCGTGACCTCGCGTCCGAGGCTCGAATGTCGGGCTTGATGGCGCAGAGATGCTCGTCCCCGCGCCAGAGTGACGTTGGGAAGACCACCGCGGCGGGTCCTCCCACGTGCCTTCTGGTGCCTGCGCGGAGGATTCCGTCGCGAGGGGTACGAGTGGCGTGTGGAACAGGCTCTCGATCCGACTCCCCAGCGTATGTGCTGCCGGGGGCGACGACGGCGGCCCCGCTGTCGATCGGTAGGTCGACACCTTGTCCTCGACTCGGCCCAGCTCCCTCTCGGAGCGGCGCGCCTGCAGCTTGTTGCCGTGAAGTGTGAGATGCTCCGTCTGCGTAGCGCTGACCTCGATGGTCGGCGTCGCCCGCCGCGAAATGGACGGGATCTCAAGCTTGCCGCCCCTCAAATTACCTCCCCTTGACGTGCTCGCGACGCTGTTGCGGCTGGTGGGCCGGTCGATGCCGATGAAAGTGGGGCCAGGCGCCGTCAAGGTGGCGCTGGATGCCAGGTCGGCCGTGACCGCACCCCTGCTTGCCATGGGTGCGACGCTCGCCTGGTGGCCCGATGAGGATGACGCGGCATCCGAGGAGGCGCTGACCATGTCGTCGTCGTCCGATGACAGTCCATCGCTGCCGTCGTCACCGCCAAAGTTGAGCGCCCTGGCCGTTGGCTTGGGTGCTCGAAGCGCTGGGCCCGGGGGGTTGCCTTCGGCGCCATCGGCGCTGGGAGTGACGGTCGCAGCAGGTTGGAAACCAGGCTTTGACGAGGGCGCGCGCCGGCCGGGTTGCAGCGCGTCGGGAAAGGATTGCAAGAAAAAGGCCGGTGGTGTCCCCTGCCGCATAGTCTCGGCATGCCGCTGTATGGGCGAAGCGACGACAGCGGCGGCGGGCGCAGCGGCTGCGGGCGCTTTGAAGGGCGAGTCGAGCGAGGTGAGTGGACGCGACTGGGCGCTGTCGCCTGTCGTGCTGCCGTCTGGCGGCTCGGGCGTGGCGGTCTTTTGGTCGATGCGCCTCCTGCCGCCCCTCATGCGGCCTACGACTTTGCCATTGACGACGCGCTCGCCAAACTCGTTGAGGTAGACGTCGTCGAAGGCGATGCGGGATCGAAGGCCCGATGCGGGTCGATCGGTCGAGGGACCTGCTGATGGAGACGAAGGAGGGATGCGATCGTCGTCTGTCGTGTCGGTTTGGTGTATGGGCCCGGTGAGGATGATGCTCTGCACCTGCTCTCCCCTGACCGAGGCCATGGTCGAGGAGAGGCCGCTAAGGGGCAGGTGGTCCTCATGGTCATCGCTAGGCTCGCCTCCATCGTGATTGGTCGATGTCGTGCCCGGGTGCGGGACGCGGCTGGCGTGGCGGGACGGAAAGGGGGAGAAGGAGGGTGGGCGCACGTCGGAGGGCGAGTATATCGGTTCCAACTTTGACTCTGGGGAGAAGGTGGGTGCGGGTATGTCGATCGAGGGCCGTAGTGTGCGGCTGTGCGAGGATGTTGGGCGGGACGGCGCCGAGAGATGGAGAGCATCGAGGTCCAAAAGGTCCGAAGTGGCCAGCTGGAGCTCCCTGGCCAGCTCGTCGTCCATGGTGTGCGACGGCGGCGGCCGCGGGGAGGTTGGGCAAGGGGGGTGGGGATGGTGGAAGTAGTGCTATGTTGGTATGCTTGTGGTGTGTGAGCCTGTCATGATGCAACGCTGCAGGCTGTTGCTAGAAATGGCCGGTAGCGGTTGATGGCAGCGGCGATGGCCGTCGTCGTGGTGGTGGTAGTCGTGGTGGTGGTGGTGGTGGTGGTGGTTAATGGCAACGGGCCAAGCCTCCACCTGCTCCTGTGGCTTTGGGTCCATGGCGCGTCTCGCACGGGCCCTCTGCCTGTCCGGCTGCCCCTTGTTGCGTTGCCCCGCGGCCCCAACGTCGATGGCAATACCAGTAACAATCTTCCAACAGTCTTTCTTGATCGCCGCTTTGCTTGTCATCCACCACGGTCTCTTCTCGCTCTAGCAGCCGTGCACTTTCCCTTCAACCCACGATTGCCCTGCCCTGACCTGTACCCTTACCCACCATGGCATCTCAACAGCAGCAGCAGCCTGCCGAGCAGCTGCCAGTCACCCTCCAGCAGCTCAACCTCGTCCACGCAAAAGTGCTCGAGGCAAACCCGGTCTACACCTTTCTCCTCAGCGACGTGAGTCGGCCCGCCCCTTTGTCCAGCTCACAGAGACGTTGAGGCCGGCTTCCTGACCCTCGACAACCCTCGCAGCTGACGCTCACCTCGGTCGCACCGGGCGTCGTCACGGCCGAGCTGCCCGTCACCCGCAACCTCATGAACTCGCACAACATCCTCCACGGCTGCACCTCGGCCACCATCATTGACTGGATCGGCGGCATCGTCATCGCTTCCACCTCGCCGGACCGCTTCCAAAAGAGGGGCGTCTCGGTCGACATCCACGTCACCTACGTCGGCGCCGCAAAAGAGGGTGAGACGCTCCTCATCAAGGGCACCGCACAAAAGGTCGGCTCCCGCCTCGCCTTTATCAATGTCGAGGTCAAAGCAAGGAAGCCCGGGTCCACCGACGAGAGGGTCGTCGTCACGGGCAGCCACACAAAGTTTGTCGGGTAGGCGTCCAGCCAGGGGTCCACGGGTCGATCGCACTATAGCATCAGTCGAGGGCACGAGGTAGCAGTACAAGGGGCGGCGCGACGAATAGCGAACCAGTAGAGCGGTGCAGCGCGGGTCGGGGAAGCGGGTATAGGCGCTGCTGGTGCGCGAGATCCAAGTCGTATTCACAGGGGCGGGGAGCGGGTGGGCAAGCTGAGCGAGCAGAGGGACTGCACAGGCGGCCGTCTCAGGTGGCGGGAGCGCTGGGAGCGGCGGCGGCGGCTGTCGAGGCTGGGTTCGACATTGTCGTCGTCGTCGTCGGTGCTGCTGCTGCAGGCGCCTGCGAGACAATCTGCATCTGCTCGGTGGGGCGGTACTCTGGCGGCGGCTGTTGCTGTTGCTGTTGCTGTGCCGCGTCGATGTGGCCGGCCTCTCGGTCCTTTGTGACGTCTTCGAGCTGCCGCGCCTGTCCGTTGGGGTCGTGTTCGAGCGAGTTGGGGTTGGGGTAGTCTTCGACGGGCAGCGCACCCTCAGTGTAGCAGCAGCGGCAGCGGCAGCACTTGTCGCAACAGGAAAAGTCGGAACCGATATGGGCTGCGAGGGTGCGGCGCGGTGGTCGGGCATGGGTTGATGACGGGATGTGTTAGATGGTGTGACAGCGGAAGACGAGTGACACGCGGGGAGAGCTTTGACGACGTGCACGTGTGCGGAAAGAGTGGCGAGGGGGGACTTACAGGTGGCGCAAAAGGTCCACTGTAGTGATTGTGCGACCGCAGCGCAGAGTGCGCCGCAGAGACCTCCGACGATGCCGCCGCCGATGTCGCCCATGGGTGGCAGGGTGGAAGCTTGTGGTGTTACGTGAAGGAGGGAGGCTGGAGCGAGGCTGTTAGTGGGCCGAGGATAGTCCGAGTCGCGGCAAGGGCGGTTTTGCGGCCAATGCGAGGGTGGAGGTCAAGATGGCTTTGGTGATGGCGATTGGTGTGGTGGCGGTGGCGGTGGCGGTGGCGGTGGCGGTGGTGGTGGTAGTACCTAGCAGCGGGTAACGAGGCGGGTGAGATGGACGAGGAACGGAGGAGCTAAGCAACTGTACTCATCAGACCCGAGCGGCCCGGCAACGAGACCCTGACCCTGACCCTAACCCTGACCCTGGCCCCAGCTGCACAGCCTGCCCGAGCCAGGCCAGGCCGGATTCAGTCATCCGAAGCGCCCACCGCCCGCCAGACGGTCAGGCCAGACGGCAGGCCACCAACGGCACGCGGGGCCGGCGCAGACCTACTCTTTCTCGGGCGACAGATGAGCTCCCACTTTGTGCTTTTTCCCAGTCGGCTCTCTTTTTCTTCGCAAGCCAGGCCGGGTCGACGTCTGTCCAACGCAGAAAAGCAGTAACACAGAGCGGGGCGTCGTCTTCCTTCCTCTCTTCCTTCACCACTCTCCCTGCCTTGGCCTTAGCCTCGGACACCACCACCACCGTCATCATCATCATCATCAGCTCTCTTCGTCCCCTTTGAGCCTGTGGTTCCGTCTGTCGATCCCGACGCGCCTCGGCATCGACCCCATCTCGCTATCGACTGTGGTCCTCGCTCATCGACCCCTTGTTCCTCCTCCGCTCCCGTCCCATCCCCTTCCACTCCCCCTCACACCCCAAACCTTCCGCCTAACACTCTGTTTCCGACCCATCTCTCCATGGTCGGCACCAATTTTTAGTGGCGGATAGACTTCGACCCAGCGATCCGCCAGTTTCCCCTCTCGGTCGACATCGTCAACGGGTCGGGCGGTCCCTTTGGTCATGCCCTTCTTCGTCGTCGATGTTTTCGAGAGGGGAAGGCGGTCGTTCCCCCTCAGACACCGTCCCTCGCCTTTTAAAGAAGATGGGGCGGTCATTATGCTGGGGAGACATGCCATCCCTTTGTCGCCCTCGCTGTCCGCCTTTTCTTATCTGTTTTGCGGTCTGTTTCTGTGCGCCATACCCAATCCAACTGAATCAATTGCATCTGAATCCCACACACCGCTTCACTCTGCCCACCGAGGGATGGATAGACCAGCTCCCCTACGCCATCGCGCTCGAGCAACCGTCCCCGTACACCCTCGCGCCCTCAGATTGGGCCGTCGGTATTGCGCACGAGGGCATGGATAAAGCGCGTCGTCTTGGCATGGGCGCGGATGTCCATCCTCTCATCGACCGTGTGCTTGCCGCTGTTCATCATAAACGTGTTGGGGTGGAAGCGCCAAATGTTGGTCGAGAGGTCCGAGTACCGACGAAGGTCGGTATTGCCCGCCATGACGCCAGGCGTCACGATCCGGTCGCTACCGGTGGCGTTGCCCTTGCCCTTTTCGTCGGCGCCATTCTGGCCCTCTTGACCGCGGCCAGGAAAGACGTGCCGGATGGTCGAGGCCAGCATGCCAAACTGGCTAGACGTGACGGGCGAGACGGGCGTGGGCTCCGTCGACTGTATCACCGTCAGCTTGACCTTGCCTCCGCTGGCCTGTTTGCCCTCGGATGGGGCATCGCGGCGCGCCGGCTCCGACGCGTCCGAGGAATTGGCCTTTTCTGGACCGTCGACGCTGAGCTCGAGGTTGTGGCGGCGCGCAACGCGGGCGACGAGGCCCTCGACCTTGTCGACAACCTGCTGCACGGTCGCGTCGACCGAGACGCGGTAGTTGATGGTGGCGCTGGCCGACTCGGGAAGCGCGTTGGCCTTGACGCCGCCAGTGATGACGTCGATCGCCTGCGACGTCTGGATCACGAACCGCTCCGTCCTCGTCCCGTCCTTTGCGATGCGACGCGCAGCCTGAGGCCATTGGTCGGGGCGACGCAGCTGCTTGCGCAGCGCTCGGTCCAGCACGAAGCCCTCGTACGTCTCGGCCTGGTCATCGCCGTCGGCGCCGCCGCCGCCACGAAGCTCCTGCTCGTCGAGGGCGTCGGCCAGGCAGATGAGGTGCGTCAGGACCGGGTTGCGCGTCGACAGGCTGGGTTCAAAGGGGTTCTTTTCGAGATCGACGAGCATCTCGGAGAGCATGCCAATGGCCGTGTGGTCCGGGGGAATCGAAGAGTGGCCTCCCTCGGTCTCGATGTCGATGCGCATGTCGGCGTACCCTTTCTCGCCCACGGCCGGCAGGGCCACGTCGAGGCGACCCTGCTGCGTGGTGCCGATGCCCAGGCCTCCTTCGTCGATGATAAACTCGAGCGGCTTGTCCGTCGTCGAGTTGCCATTGCCACGCTCGCCACTGTTGCCGTAGCGCCTCAGCATCTCGACGAGTAGGGTGCCCGCGCCCCGCTGGCCTCCAATCTCCTCGTCGAAGCCGCTGGACAAGAGGATTGTGCGGCGGGGTCGAAACCCTTCGCTCTGCAGCTGCTCGAAGGCCTCAAAGATCGAGATGAGCATGTTCTTGTCGTCGCTGCTTCCCCTACCCCAGACCAGGCCCGTTTCTCGATCATACTCGCCGCTGAACGGCTCGTGGGACCAGCGAGACACAGTGTCTTCGGGCACGGGCACGACGTCCTGGTGTCCCTGGTAGAGGGCAGGCTTGAGCGAGGGATCGCTTCCGGTCCACTCGTACAGCAGTCCGTAGGTGTTGACCTTGGTCAGGTTGGCCACCGAGTGGAAGAGGGGGAACGTCTCGGCCAGGAAGGCGTGGAAGTCGACGAGCGGCTTGAATCGTTCCTCGCGCGTCGGGTCCAGGTCCATATCGTCGTAGCTGACGGTCCGGATGCGGACCGCCGCACCCAGCCTCGCGGCGCTCTCGTCGAGCCAGGTCGAGTTGGTCTCTGGCTGCCACACGACCGAGGGCGCGCGCGCAGGCGGCTGCACGGGGCACTTTGGCACCTCGTCGTCGACAACGGCGGCGGCGGCATCCCTGGGAAGATTGAGGGCTTGGCAGCCGCCGATGTTGGGCAGCCAGAAAGTCAGGCCGAGGCAGAGAGGGAGGACGACGAAGGCCAGTCGACGGGCGACCCATGCTTGAGGTCGAGCCCCGCCCGCGGTAGGGCATCGCCCGTTGTGATTCTTGGTCGGCATGTCGTTGCGTGGAGGTGCAGGTTCAGAGGGTGGCACGGTCAAAGTGCGAGAGTAGGCTTGATGGAGTCCGTCGTCGAGGGATTGATCGATGTGAGGACGAGCGGTTGACACGTCGATCTCGAGACGAGGATCCCCCATTCTTATATGTCTTGCGCGGCATGGTGGGATGCTCACCGTCTGCCTCGTTGCCTGACACACGGCGAGACTGTAGACCGCTGTGCGCCTCTGCCTACGTGGCTCCGTCGACCAGCCACACTCATGGTGCGAGTGTGGTGCTGTACCTTGGTGCAACCACTTCAGGCCTCTTCAAGCGTCGATGCTGTCCATTACTGCACGGATCCGTGGGAAGAAGATAAGAGCTGTGAAGGCCGACTTGCTGACCAGCCCGCTAGTGGTTGCAAAGAACAGGCCGTCCAGGAAGATGTTTCGGTAGATACCGGTATGTACAGTCTTGGTACCGTGGTACCAGTACCGTGGCACCGCGCTGTCAAGTCCGGCGGCGCGCGGCGAGCAAGGACCAAGCCAGGCGAGGTGGGCGGGAGCTGGCATCGCGTGCGCCTGATCCGGTACCGTGGCCACTTGGGCTGGCGCGTGCGAGGTTTCCCCTCTGCGTATGGCATCATGCACGGAGCTCACGGCACGGCAACGGCCAGACCTGGCCAGGAAAGGCAAGAAGACGGCTGGACGCGGGGAAGAGAGGGCTCGAAGCCGGTGCGGGGAAGCCCCGGGGTTGCAGGGTGCAAGCGGCAACTCAGGAAGCAAGCCAAGCTACGGCACCAAGCGTGAAGCAAGCTACCATAGGGCAGGCCGGCACGAGATACCGCACGCGATGCGACAGGCCAGGCGGTATGTACTCACAACTACAGCGTAACTGTGTCTTTTTTCGCACCGCACTGTATGTAGACTTGTAAAAGCCCGCGCAAGCCGAGAGTGCGCTAAGAGAGCGTGTTACCGGTAGTTGGAAGCTAGACCTTCTTGGCGCCACTGTCCACGCGAGGTGGGAGGACTGCCTGGCCTGCGCCATTTTGGCAAGCGAGCGCCGGCGCCAAGGACGGACGGTGGCACGCGTACGATACCGTGTCGACCGGACGCCCAAGAGATATCGCGAGCCTCCGTCCGGGAGACTAGCACTCATACTGGCCAAGTCAAAACAGGCAGCGAGACGACGGCAGGAGATCGTACCGGTATGAGGCTGCAACCCCAGGCTGGCCTGCAATTGATTGCACACCCGCGACCTGGCGCTCGCTACGCGAGGCGGGGTGACGAGGCGGGGTGACGAGTACGTGGTGGGAGGTGGCTGAAGCCTGACCGCAATGGGGTCTAAAGACGAAGAAACGAGTCGGGCTCCTCACTCGTACCGACCGCTTAAGCCGACTGGGGTCCGGATCGCCTGGTCCAAGGATGGCCGCCGATCGCATCCTCGAGAGACGGGGGCGCCGCGGCTTGCGAAGCGGCTCCCAGGCGATCCGCGCCGGGACAACAGGGAGGATACGGAGAGGGGAAGAAAGACTGGCCTCCTGACCACAGCCAGATCCGCCGACATGAGCCTGGCCGAGCATCGTCGTGCAAGCGGCTGACCTTCGACCATGGGCACGACGGGCTCCAATGCCGGGTGGGGGAGCTCCTGTGTGCTCATCGAGCGCCCCTCGGATGCTGCGGCGACGAAACGGGCAGGGGACGGATGGTTTCTTTGCGGAGGGTGGGACCAGCCAGCGTTCTTCTGGCTACCCTAGCCAAGTGGCTTGCCGCTCCGCAGATACGGAAGATGGATGATCACTGAGCTCCATGCCCACGGGAGGAAGATGGAGACGGCGCGCTACTCCGATCCAAGCGCTCCGGGCAGGCCGGCGCTCATCGCGGGTGGTGAGGATCGAATGGGCTCTGCGATCCGCTGCCGAAAGAGCTGTGCATGTGCCCATGAAACAGGCGCGGGTCAGCACCACTCGCGGGTCGAGCCTGGCCCAGAGGAGCGCCGCCATCCGCAGAGTGCATCGCATCGACGAACGCCGCTCCGCCGTAGTACTGAGCGTGCACCTGCCCATAGGGCGAGCCGAAGTGCTGCTCGGCGTAATGCGCCGAGGCCATGTCGCCGCGCAGGCCCGAAGGCTGCCCGAGGCCAACATCCGTCCCAGCGCCGACGCCAAATGGATGGGAGCTGGTCGCCATCGTCCTGTGCCCTGCGAAGGCTCCCTGCGCCGACGGGTCGCGTGCAAGATGCTGGGGTGCGGGCGAGCCCGCCGCCATCTGGCCCCAGCCAAAAGGGGCCGGCGCGGGAGGGGGAAGCGCTGAACCAAACGAAGCGCCGCCAGACGGTGGCGAGCCGACGCGAGCATCCGACGGGCCAGAGCTCCAGATCGACCTGCCGCCGTGGCCGTCGGGTGAGCCGTTGGGGCCAGAGACGCCGCCAAAGAGCAGCTGCGGCTGCACCCCGCCAGCGACGCTGCTGCGTGCCTGAGCCGACAGCACCTGGCTGGGCGGCGGGCCGGCGGGCCCACTCACGCGTCCTTGGAGCATCTGGAGAAGCAGGTCCTGAGCCGTGGCGGCGGTCTTTGGAGTGTCGGAACCCGAGGCACGCGGGTCCGGATACGCGCCGGGCGCTGCGGGCCTCTCTTGGCCGCCGGAAGCGTTGGTGGCCTGCGCAAAGAGGCGAGCGGCTTCGTCGTCATTTGTGCGGCTATCGTAGCGGATCTGCGAGGGGACGAGAATGCGCTCTCTGCTCTCTTCGTCCCGGTGCTGATCGTCGTCGACGCGCACGTCGCGCATCGACTCCTCCATGCCGTCCATGAGGCTGCTTTCGCCGGTCCTGCGTCCGTCTACGGCCCGCATGGCCAGCTCGACCGGGTCGTCGGTCATCTCGGAGAAGCCCTCGGACGACGCCTCATCCTGTCTCTCGTTCCTTTCGCCCCGGTCGGCGTCGGGCTTGGCAGCCCCGGTCGACGAGGGCGACACGCGGGCGGGCGATGCGCGCGCCTCGAGCTGGGAAGGTGCCGCACGGGTCTGTGATGCGCCAGCGGCGCTTGTTTCGCCGTCGAAGACAAAGATATTCTGGCCATCCTCGTAGCGGATTGGACTCGCATCGGACTCGGCGACCACCTTGGCGTCGATGAGCAGGTCGGCAACGCGCATCAGTTGCTCCTCGTTGGGATGGACCTGGCTCGGGCGGACCGCGTTGGCGTGCGAGCAGGCCTCGCCCATGCCTAGGTTGACGACGACGCTGCCACCGCCGATGCCGGGAGCGGTGAGCTGCATCGCCTTCTTTGTCGGCGTCAGGCCGCGCATGTCCGAGTCTTCCTCGAGGCAGAGCGCCGGGGCGCCGACGGGTCCCGCCTTGCCGATGTTGGGCAGCGTCTCAAAGGGAAAGGCGTACCGAAGGACGTTGATCATAGCCACGTAGCTCCTCCAGAAGCCCTCAATCGCCTCGGCAGCGTCGGCATCGGCCCGCACCCGCACCTGCGCCTCTCGCAGCTCTTCCTCGTTGGGGATCGCCTCGAGCGTCGGGTTCAGCGACGGCTGCAGCAGCGACACGTCCGAAGCCTGGCTCGAGGCGGCGGCGCGCTCGCCCGATCGCTGGATGTACTCGAGATGCGTCTTCATCCACTTGGTCGCGACGCGGAGTGCCGGCAGGGTGCGCCGCACCACGGCGGTGAGGTGACGCACCGCGGCAGAACCTGCTGCGCCACCTGCGGGCGCCGAAGGCGGGTTCTGCCGGTTGGACTGGATGGCCTGCTGCGTCTCGTCGACGACCACCTCGGCCAGCTCCCGGAAGACGCCGAGCACGTGGGCCAGGATCTGGTGCTCGATGCAGAGCCGGCTGGCGGGATCCAGGTCGACCGAAGATCCCTTGCCCGAAGAGCGAATGGTGCCGGAACGCGAACGCGCGGCATTGCCTCGAGCCCGCTGGCCGTTTGACGACGAAAACGACGATGGCGTGTTGCGCCAGAGCCGCGTGGTCCAGGAGGCGCAAAGTCCGGTGACCACAACGCGGACGACCAGGTCGGCCGGGACGGCCCGGGCGCGCACAAGCGACGAGAACTGAGCCAGTACCGAGTGAGAGAGCGGCATGATGCAATCGAGGCTGTCGGGGGGCGTGCAGCGCAGCGCAGTGGCAGGATGAAAACGACCGTCGGGGTAAAACGACGCGACATTTGTCAGCCAGGTGATATGCCCCGAATCGCTGGCGCCGCATCGAGGAAGGTATCGCCGCGGCTGAGCACTCACTGCACGCGCTGGAAGAAGAGGCCGTGCAGCACCACGACGTCTCCGATCCACTTCCTGAACGCCGCCTCGCTGTCGGGCAGGTTGGTCGAAAGGCGCTCGACGGTGCCGGAGGAGCGCATCCTACGCTCGTCGGAATCGTCCCAGGACCTCGCATCGTCCATGCCACCCGACTCGAGCCAGGCCTCGATCGGCTTGGCGAGCGTCTTGTCGAGGTTGATCTTGGCCTTTTCGAAGGGGAGCCGGACGCAGAGGGCGCGGTAGCAGTGATAGATGGACAGCAGCGGGTCGGCGTTGTACGTGGCGATCACGGCCAGCTGGTTGGAAGGGTTGCCGTTGTCGGGAAGCAAGAGCCGAGCCTGCTCGTAGAAGGCCAGTGCTCTGCCGAAGTCCTGCTTGTACGTGGCCGCGTCATCTGCTGGCGCTGCGGCCTTGTGAGGGCCCGTGGCGGTGGCGACGTTTGCATGCGCGTGCGCAGGGCGGCCCCCGCGAGCTCCTCCGCGGGCGCCTCTGTGCGGTGGGCCGCGATCTTCGGTCTCGAGGACAGAAGGGGCGGCGTCGCTGGGCTGCGGGCAGTGGAGCTCGCGGTAGCGTGCGAGGTCGCCGCAGAAGATGAGGGCCTTTTGGACCGCCTCGAGCAGGTGGGTGCGGTTGGCGGGGAGCAGCGCAGCCTGCGAGAGGGCTTCGCTGGGCGGCTGGTGTCGGCCGAGGGACGATGCGAGCGTGTCGGAGGCCTGGGAAGGGGTGCCGACGGTGGTGTCGCCGTCGCTGTCGCAGGCGATGCCGAGCGCCTCGAGATTGGCTCTGGCCTCGTCGAGGGTAAAGATGCGGACGATGCTGGCGGCCAGCTCGCGCCAGAAAGACTCGTCGTCGTGGAGCAGCTTGCGGAGCTCGGTCTGGGTGCGCGCCACGTCGTTGGCCAGCTTGGCCCTGGCGTTGCCCGTGGTCGGGGCGGCGGTGGCGGCGGCGAGGGCCTTTTGCTGGGTCGAGATGAGGGTGCGGAAGGCCGATATGAGGCAGTAGGTGGTGTCGGTCCACAGGAGGTTGTCGACGCCGTGGGCGAGGCGGTTGAAGGTGAAGGTGAAGAGGAGGGTGAGGTAGGTGTTGCGCAGGTTCTTGCGGTTGAACTCGATGTCGGCGTTGAGCAGCTTGGATGCCCTTTGGTGATGTTGGGCTGCACCGCCGCGGCCGCCGCGGCCGGGCTGCGCAGCGGAGCGGGTGGTGGATGCGGCGGCGAGGGATCGCTTGATGAGGGCATCGAGCTCGAGCTTCTGGGACCTCGCCTGGGCACGCAGGTTGGCGGCCTTTGCATCGCGCAAGTTGTAGCCGGCGGTGGCCATGGTTGCGGGTGATGCGCAGCGAGCGAGATGAGTGGACAGCACGAGCTGCGGGGAGAGATCGACTTGGGTCTTGGGTCGATTGATGGCCACCGTCCGTCGCGGTGGGGCCAAAAGCCGAGGCAGAGGCGGCGGCCTGGCTGGCTGGCTGGCTGGCTGCAAGGGGATCAAGGGGGCCTCGTTACTGGGCGGTGTTCATCATTGTAAATGGCATGGTGCTGGGCAAGAAGAGCGGTAGAGAGAGAGGGAGAGATGAGGGGGAGGAGCGACGAGCAAGGTACGCGTGGATAGGGTTGGGATGATGATGGTGGTGGATGTGCGCCCGTCGGCCATAGGGGCAGAAGGCGTTTGGGCTTGGGTGGAGGAGGTGTCGCCAGGCAGCCTACAGTCGGCTTCTGAGTCGGCTCAGCCTCTGTCCCGTCTGCGCCTCTCCTCTCTCTCTCTCTCGAGACGCTTCCGCCCCGTCGACTCACAGCCAAGGAGACAAGCCGGCCCGCCCGCCTGCACCTCTCGTGCGCCACTCTGCCCGAGAGAAAATATGTAAAACAAGGTTGGCCCCGCCGCTGCTTTGGTGAGCCAAAAATGCAAAAGACAGCCCGATGATGCCCTCGCCTTCCGTCAGGCCCCACGCGCCTCACCTCCGATTTTCGTGCGCATTTTCCTTGGCCATTTTTCGCGCACGGCTGCACCGCCGCACCCACAAAGACACACATACAGATGCCCTCACACGGGCGACCGGCAATGCGGGATCGTGATGGCCTTGCGCAGGGCCAAACGACGACTAATCTTACAGCTAGAAATACACGCTGACCAGCGAGGCAGCCAGAGGTGGCCAGAGGGGCGACAGAGAGGCGTGAGAGAGGCAGAGAGGAGAGACAGCCTGGAGAGAGGCAGAGAGACAGCCTAGACAGAGGCAGGCACAGGCCCGCATAGCTGCGTGCTGGGGCACCAAGGCCAACACGACACGGCACGATGCAACATGGACAGCAGGCGCAACAGTAGTGAGGTGCTTGGATACGGCATCGTCTCGGTCACGCTTGCCGCTGACGCAGTGCAGAGGCCACCCGGTCCAGTTCGGCCGCGTCGCCCACGGCTTGCAGGGGTGCGTGCGTCATCGTACCGTCGCCGTCGCCGTCGCCATCGCCGCCATGGTCGATCGCGATGCCGCTATCCGCGGGCTGCTTCCGGTTCCGGCTGCCGTTGGCCGCTCGCCGCTTGCTCGACGCAGGCGCCGACAGCGCCCCCTTGCGCCGCTTGGGCGTCTTGCCCTCCTCTGCCAACGTCGCCTCGGCCGCGTCCAGCGTCTCGTCGCCAACGGCCCCGCCATCGTCGCCACCACCCTTGACCTTGGCCACCATCCGCTCTGCCTCCCAGTTGAGGTAGGCCTCCCGCCCGCGCTCCCACACCCGCGGCTCGTCGTTGGCGGCGTCTTCTTCGCCCGAGGCAGATCCTTTGCGCGCCCGACCATCGCCCACCGCCGGCAAAAGCGCCCGACCCAGCGGATCTTGGCTCCGCAGCTCCCCGAGATTCCTCAGCAGCAGCTCGGCGTCGACGCACAGCTTCCGTGCATGCTGACCCAGCACAGCGGTCACCGCGGGGCCGCCATCCGGATGCGGTCCATCATTGCCGTCATCGCCCGCCACCTGGGAATCCGAGAGGATGGCCGAGAAGCGCTGGTGCAAGAGGTCGGTCTGCGCAAGGCGAGCTTCTGCAGCCTGCTTTCCCAGGAGCAGATCGTGCTGGACCGAGCGAGCCTGGCAGATGCGACGGGAACGACCCGGAGACAATGTCAAGTCTCAGAGGTCAGCTTGCGGGGTCGTGCACGCGGCTCCGCAGCACCGAGGCAAGAGGCTCCTCGTGCAGACGCCACTCACCGCTGCCAGCTTCCGCTTCAGCGTGTCCTCTTCGGCGCCCAGCATGTGGCTCCGCTCGTTTGCGCTCGTCGCAGCCGCCGTCGTTGCGAGGCTCTTGCGCGACCTGGCGACCTTGGACGAGGTTGGCAATGCCGAGCCCCTGGGTCGCAGGTCTAGACCGCGGTGGTGGTCGAGCGTCATGAGCCGCGCCTGCCGCGCCTTGATGCCAAAGACTGAGCGTAGGCAGTAAAGCTCAAACGTGTCGAGGGTGTGGTCGAGGGCGTTTTCGAGGAGCGTCAGCACGGCGTGCACGCCCTGCTCGGCCTCGAGGTCGCCGCCGTCAAAGTCCTGCAGCTGCTCGAGCGCCGTGAGCTCAAACTGCTCGGCCAGCTTATACAAATGCTCGTTGGAGAGGTAGACGAGCGCCTCGACGAAGGCCTTGGGGCTGAAGCCGAAGTGCTCGGTGAGCAGCGCGATGTGGGCGTCGGTCGAGGGCTCGTCCCTGTCGGCGTGGTCCGAGGGCCGGGCGACGCTGTCGGAAGCGGCCGGGCCCTGATCTGCCGCGGATGCCTTTGACTTGGACGATCTCGGCGCTGGCTTGGTGGCAGGGTTTTGGCTGCTGGATGGCGACGACAGCCTTTGCTCTGTTGCGGCGGCGGCCTCACTCGGCACCTCGGCAGCCGCCTGGGCCGAGGCCCTCCTGGTCGATGGCATGGATGCTTGCTAAACGGTGCAGCGGATGACTCTGGCTGTCGAGCGAGCGCGATCGAAGTGTGCTGTGTGTATGCGTGCGAGAGCAAGAGAGCGAGAGATGATGAGAGAGAGGGGGAGAAGTGGATAAGAGGGCTTGGACAAGGCCCCCCGCAAGGTCGAGGTCCCTCGACAACCAACACACGCGCCCCGCGCCTGCCTGCCTGCCTGCAGCCTGGTGTGTCGCGTCGGGTTTTTGGTGGGCGCGTGCCTGGCCAGTGTCGAGCAAGCCGATTCCCGAGCATCTCCTCTTTGGCTTCGATCACCGGCTTCGTCCAAAGTGGAGAGGCAGCGGAGGGTGGAAGCGCAGAGGCCACGCAACAACGCACCCAACCCAACCCGGCGCCCCTTCGACCTTGCCTGCTTGCTCGAACTACACCACCTACCGACCTCGACACTCCCTCTGGCACCTCGACTGCAACCTCATCATCGCTGCACGCCTTCCATCGTTCGTCTCTCGCCCTTGGCATCACATCCGCACGTCTCGACCAGCGCAGTCGCCGGTTTGCACCCCGAATCGAGCGCATTCGACCGCACCACACACGCAAGCGCCCACATCAACTCTCTCGCCCTCGCTCCTCTGCCATCGCCCGCCCGCCCGCCCGCCTCACTCGCCCGCCCGCCCGCCCGCCTCACGCATTCCCCGCTTCACCGCTTCACCGCTTCACCGCTTCACCGCTTCACCGCTTCCCTCGTCCACGACCATAGCCCAAGATGGAGTGCTCGTTTGGCATCACCGGCAAGGGTTACACCATCATCGCCTCGGACTCGAACGCCGCGCGCTCGATTGTCAAGATGAAGACCAACGAAGACAAGCAAAAGGTGCTGAGCGACCACCTCGTCATGACCTATTCGGGCGAGTCCGGAGACACGCTCCAGTTTTCCGAGTACATCGAGAGGAACCTGCGGCTCTATGGCATTCGGTGAGTGAGCGCGCCCGCCGTTTGACCTGGGCGGCTCCGCCGATCTGCCCCATCACGCTGCTGCAAACCGGCGCTGACGACGCTCATCGCTTGTCGAATCCCCCCTAACCCACCCCCTGCCCCTTCCAGCAACCACGTCGAGCTTCGACCGCGGGCGGCGGCGTCGTACGTGCGCAAGGAGCTGGCCGAGTCGCTGCGTTCGCGCAAGCCGTACCAGGTCAACTTGATGCTGGGCGGCTTTGACCTGCCGACGTCGGAGCCGGCGCTGTACTGGGTCGACTACCTGGGCACGATGGCGACGGTCCCGTTTGCGGCGCACGGCTACGGCGCCTACTTTGCGCTGAGCACGCTGGACCGGTACCACCGACCCGACATGAGCCTCGACGAAGGGCTGGACCTGCTGAGGCGCTGCATCAACGAGCTCAAGACGCGCTTCATTGTCGACCTGGGCACCTTTACCGTGCGGGTGGTTGACCGCGAGGGGGCACGGACGGTGCAGCTCTGAGCGAGGATGGGCTCCCACCTGTAACACGAAACGACACGGCATCGACATCTTGATCACACCAGCAGGCTCGAGCCCGTCTTTCGGTCCGCCGGCAGGAGGTACATGCCCTACCGGGCGGCGCTTCGTTGGCACCAGATCAGACGTGGTCCGGACGCGCTGCGGATGCGCCTGGATACCGGTAAGAGAGAAGGGCTTCGATTCTTGTGGTGTGGAAGTGGCGGTGCTGGAGCGGGATGTCTGATTGCGTCGTCGGTCGATTTCGGCCGATTGACTGGCGCGGTAGTCGCGTGGGCCTGTGTGAGGACATGGCACCGCGGACGAGCCAGGACGCCTTGAGGCTTACATACGTCTGGACCGCATGGCGAGGAGGCGCTGGGCGGTCGGGGCGTCCGGGAGCGGGTTGCTCGGGCCTCGAAATGAGGTGACGGCGAGCAGCGTGCGCAACCTTAGCTTGTTCTTGCTGGGCTGGCAAGCTGGCGACGAGCCGTAGCATGCACGGCGGCCGGACCGCCTGTCCCATCCTAGGCCGGGCCTGGCTGCCTCGCGAGGTTGCACACGGACGATGCCAGCCAGGCTCTGACCAGTCCAAGGCGATGTAGGGCCTGGATTGCGCTCGACAATTGTCGCTGTGATGGGCAGCAACAAGGCTCGGAATGGCGCCATGAGGTCCTCTTCATTGGGGCTCGCGGCGAGCCAGAGAGAGAGAGCAGATCGACGACAGGCAGGCGGCCATGGCCGGCAGAGTGGGCAGCAGCTCAAGGGGTTGAAGAGCAGGCCAGGCCAGGCCAGGCCAGGCCGGCCTGGACCGTGATGAACGACGCTGCCCTGCCGCCTCGATCGACCCTTGGCTTGCTGGGCAGGCCGTCGTGGCCCGAGCACCCGCACTGCCAGCTCGAGGCTGGCCGCCGGCCACCTGCCTGCCTGCCTTTTTTCTTGGAGCCCGGCGCAGGGTGTGCAGCTGACCTGCAGCTCAGAGTGCGCTGCGCCATGGGGCTGCCTGCGTTTCAGCGCCCCTTCCCACCACCACCACCAACGCCACCACCACCACCAGCACCACCACGGACCCGTTTCGGCACGGAACCTCATAAACCTTCTTGGCTCTCTCCGACCGTACCCTGCCTCGCCTCGTATTCCTGCCCCCTGCCCCCCCTCAGCCCCCCGTCTTCTCTTCACCCGCCGCCGTCTGCGCGCTCGCTTCCTGCGCCCCGCCCGCGCAAGCCGGCCCGCTCAGTCTATCTAGTGTGCCGTTCGCGCCTCACGCGCCATCCCCTCTCCTTGCCCGCGCCGCGCATCTCCTCTCATCTCGTCTCAGCCCCGCTCCTTCTGCAAGAAAAGGCCGGCAAGAGGAGGAAGAAGAAAAAAAAGCACGGATCTGCCTGGGAGGAACGGCTACACAACAAGCAAGATAGAGCAGCGCCGTCCCTGACCCCCATCGCCTATAAGACCTGCACACATCTTTACCCCTGCTTCCTCTGTTCCCCTACACTCCCAACGCCCACCTCACACCACCCGCACTGCCTCCCTATCCCGTTCGCATATCGACTGCGCACCCATCGACCGCCTTGACCCTACCGTCCGTCGACCTACCTGAGCGCGCCCTCGTTCTCCTCCCTCCCTCCCTCCCTCCCTCCCTCCCTCCCTCCCTCCCTCCCTCCCTCCTTCCTTCAACGACCCGGGGCACGATGGCCACCGCCGAGGCCGCTCCTGCCGTGGCTACCGCTGCCAGCGGTGTCGCGCCGGACCCGGAACAGGTCCGCCTGCAGCTCATGCAGAGCACCACTCTTCTCAGTGAGTGTCTCGCTCGCAACCTGGTGGCGCGCTGCTGCTTCCTTCCATGCCACCGCCTACATGCCTGCTGACCTGCCCCTTGCCGCACTCGGACTGTCCTTACAGACGTTGCCAGGCGTCCCGACAAGGGCGGAAGCCAAGGCAACCAGATCAACGTCCTCATCAACGCCTTCAAGATGGACGTCGGCACGCCCAGGAACAACGTCGTGTGGCAGCTCGACGTCAAGATCGAGCCCATCTACGAGAAGGGCCGCGCACCGTGAGTGGATCTGGCTCCTTGCCATAGCTGCGGCTGTCGCTTGGAACCATCCGAGTCCGACCTCGTCTGTCCCCTTCTTTGCAGACGCTGACGATACTCTCTGCCCTTCGCCCTGGCGGATCTTGGTGGCCTCTTCTCGTTCCCTTGCAGCGCCCCGGGCCGTGCCTCGGAACGTGGCCTGCCGCCGAACCTTCAGTTCTCGATCTTCGAGCACGCCTTCGCCGAAGCGGCTCGCGCGGGCGACCACGGCCTCACCACCGGCATCGTCGACGGCCTCACTTTTGATGGCCGCAAGAACGCCTTTGCCAACCGCCCTCTGCCCTTCGAGGACATCACCCTCGAGGTCGGCCTGCCTCCCAGAGAGAACCTGCCCGCCATCCCCGGCACCCTTGGCGCCACCGTCGGCGGTCCGGCCCCGACCCGTCGCCGCGACAGCGACCGTCGATTCCGCATGAGGGTCAAGAAGGTGCGCGAGGTTGACCTGTCGCGCCTGGCCGCCTACTGCAGCGGCGACCGCCAGATCGCCATGGCTTCGGGAAATGCCAACGTGCTCGGCCAGGTCTTTGACGGCCTCCAGGCCCTCGACATCCTGCTCGCCAACGAGCCCGCCAAGAAGTACCGCATCCAGGGCGCCGGACGCCACCGCTACTTCGACGGCAACAACACCCTGCCCATCTTTGGCGGCGCCGAAGTGTGGCGCGGATTCTTCCAGTCGGTGCGCCCTACCATGAGCGGCCTGGTCGTCAACATCGACGCCGCCTTTTCGGCTTTCCTGGGCAGCGGCGACCTCGTCACGGTTGCCGGCAAGATCCTCAACATCATCCCTAGCGGCGGTGGCGGCGGTGGCGGTGGTCGCGGCGGTGGCGGCGGCGGTCGAGGTGGCCGTGGAGGTTTCCGAGGTGGACCCCCGGGCCGCGGAGGCTACGGCGGCGGCGGCGGCGGCGGCTACGGAGGAGGCCCGTCGGGTCCGGCTCCCGCCATCGACCGCCTCCTGCCGAACCAGCTCCAGGAGCTGCGCAGGAGGCTCAAAGGAAGCCAGGTCCGCGTGACCCACCGCCCCACCAACAAGGTCGAGCTCTTCAAGGGGTTCACTCCCAAGACGGCGCGCGAGATGAAGTTTACGCTGAAGGACGGTACCGAGCACACGATCCTCTCCTACTTCAAGTCCAAGTTCAACTACACCGTGCGCTACCCGGAGCTTCCCTGCGTCATCCTCGGCGACGGCAAGAGCTTCGTCCCCATGGAGGTGTGCGCCCTCGTCCCCGGCAGCGCTCCCCTCCCTCCGCAGCGCCTCAACCCGATGCAGGTGCAGGACATGATCAGGGAGTGCGCGCAGCGTCCCGACGTCAAGATGCGCCGCATCGACGAGATCCGCCGCCAGCTGAGCTACGAGGACGACCGTCGCATCCAGGAGTGGGGCGTCCGCATCAGCCCGCAGCTGATGCGCGCTCCCGCTCGCCAGCTGCAGCCCCCCACGGTGCAGTACTCGCCCGGCGGCCAGCGTCCGCGCATCCAGAACGGCTCCTGGAACCTCGTCAACGCCAGGTTCATCAGCGGTGGCGACCCCCTCATCGTGTGGGCGGTCGTCAACTTTTCGCGCCAGCCCGAGAACCTCGTCAAGCGCTTCGTCGGCGCCCAGATGGGCAAGTTGCAGGAGCTCGGCGTCAGGGTCATCAACACCGAGCCGCCGTACTTTGAGCAGGCAAGCACCGACCCGGGCCAGATCATGCGCACGCTCAACGATGCCGGCCGCGCGGCGTACGCGCAGGGCAAGCAGATCACCAAGGGCGGGCAGGCGGTCCTGCCGCAGCTCTTTTTCTGCATCATGGACCGCGTCGACACGCCCTTTTACGACGAGATCAAGCGTGCGTCGGCGCTCAAGCTCAACTCGCCCGTCGCCTCGCAGGTGGTCAACACCAAGAAGGCCTTCAGCGACCGCGGACAGCCGCAGTACCTGGCCAACGTGGCCATGAAGGTGGCCATCAAGCTCGGCGGCACCACCCACTCGGTCGACGGCCAGGACCTGCCCGGGCTGACCCCGCACACGATGCTGATGGGCGTCGACGTCACCCACCCCGCGCCCGGCACCGATCTGCCGTCGATTGCCTGCTCGGTGGCCACCGTCGACGGCAACCGCAGCCGCTACTCTTCCGAGATCCGGGCGCAGCTCAACCCGCGCAGCCGTAAGGGCGGCCAGGCCCAGGAGGTGCTGATGCACGCCCAGTCGATGTTTGCCGGCCACCTCCAGCGCTGGAAGAAGCGCGCCAACCGCCTGCCCGCCTCTGTCGTCGTCTTCCGCGACGGTGTGTCCGAGGGACAGTACCAGAGCGTGCTGGACCACGAGGTCTACGCGCTCAAGAAGGCCGTCAGGCAGGTCGAGCCCAAGGGCGAGGTCAAGGTGACGTACGTCATCTGCGGCAAGCGCCACCACGTCCGCATCTTTTCCGAGAGGGGCCAAGGCACCGACGGTCGCTCCGGCAACCTGCTCGCCGGCACCGTCGTCGACCGCGACATCACCTCGCCGTACGCCTTTGACTTTTACCTCCAGTCGCAGGCCGGCCTGGTCGGCACCACCATCCCCGCCCACTACGTGGTGCTGATGGACGAGAACCGCTTCAGCTCGGACAGCCTGCAGAGGACCATCAACTCGCTCTGCTACTCGTACGCCCGCGCCACGCGATCCGTCTCGCTCGTGCCCCCCGCGTACTACGCCCACCAGCTGGCCACCAAGGCCAAGGCGCTCGTCTGGCCCGACACCAGCGGCGACACGTCGACCGTCGTCAGCTCCGAGGGCAGGGAGGCCAAGAGCATCGAAGACATCGACGCCGAGGCCACCATGGGCAAGCTCAGGAGGAGTCAGATCTTCACCGAGACCATGTGGTTCATGTGATGCCCTCCTGGCCCCCCCGTTCGTCACTCGTTTAGCCCCGCCATCCTCGGCGTGCATGCCCTCGATCCGTTCCGACCCGATGCGCCGACTCGTTTTCCCTGATGATGTGATCCGACGATGCGATCCGTGGCGAAAAGCTTTGACCTCGACAACGACAAACAACAACAACAAGAACAGAAAAAAAGAAAAAGAAAAAGACAAAGAAGAAATCCGCTGTTCCCGTCCTCTTTCTCCGCGATTCGACCCTTTCGCAATCCCTGGCCTCGTTGATGCGCCTTCTCCCTCGTGTATGCCCGTTGCTCAGTCTACGACGGCGAGCCCGAACCCGCGGCTCTTAATAGAAGCAGCCGGCGATACCGTGCTTTGCCAGTCTTTCGTGTGCACGATTGCCGCCTGGGCGCGCAGGCAAGGGATGAGCTATGGTACAACCTGGCCCATGAGGCGCTCGCTCATCGCCTTGGGCGGGTTCGAGCCTCACAGGGGGCGCATTATGGTGCTAGCTGACCGGTCCCTTTTCCTGACATTCCATTGCCGTCGCTGTCGCCACCCCTGCCGCCGCCCTCCTCTGCACGACAGCCTTTGACCCGGTACAGCGCCGAGCTGCCGAGGCGGTACCACAGGACGAGGATGATGAGGGCGGCGAGCACCTGCATGGCAAAGATGGCGTAGTTGGCCGTCGGGTAAAAGGGCGCCTCGTCGGCCTTGAACAGGTAGGGCGCCGTGATGCCGCCGATGTTGGCAAAGGCGATGGTGGCGCCCGAGGCGATAGCCGTGGCGGTGCTGCCGCTAATGGTCGACAGCCGGAAGGCAAGAAAGGGGATGACGGCGGCATTGGTGGCCGAAATGAAAAAGACACCAACCAAGCGAGGGGCGACGGACGAGGTCGACGCCAAGAGGATGTAGCCGACGCCGACAACGACGAGGCCGCCGAGGGCGTGGACGCAGCGCTCCTTGCGCCGGTCGGACCAGACGGCGTTGACGAGGATGATGATGGCGCCAAACACGTTGGGAGGCACCGTCATGGCCTGCCCGCGCCAGCCAGAGAATCCCAGGCTAGCAACGAGGCTGGGCAGGAAAAACCCAACGGCGTTGAGCGAATTGGTCATGCAGAAGTAGGCCACGGCAAACAGCCAGAAGTCGACGTCGACCACCGTCGCCCGCAGCACGCGCCAGTCGACGGTGCGATCGGAGCCCTTGGGCGCATGCCGACCCAGCCTGGCCTCGGCGATCCGGCGCTCTTCTGGCGTCAGGAAGCGCGCCGTGGACGGGTAGTCGGGCATCCAGAAAAAGGCGAGGACGCCAACGACAACGGCTGGAATCGCCTCCAGGATGAAGAGCCATTGCCACGCAAACAGGCTGCCCTTGCCGTTGAGGAAGGAGATGGCGGTGGCGAGGAGTCCGCTGAACGCACCGGACACGGCGACTGAGGCGGCAAAGATGGCCATGCGCTGTCCACGCTCCTCGGGCCGGTACCAGAAGGTGAGGTAGAAGATGCACCCCGGGTAGAATCCGGCCTCGGCGAGGCCGAGCATCAGGCGGCACGCCACCAGGCCGGCGTAGTTGACCACGGCCGCCTGGCACGCCGTGACGATGCCCCAGCTCACCATGATCCTCGCGATCCATTTCGACGGCGTGAAGCGCTTGAGGAAGAAGTTGGACGGTGCCTCCATGAGCGCGTAGGGGACAAAGAAGAGGGCGACCAGCGTCGAGTAGCGCGTGCCGCCGAGGTCGATGCGCGACGAGAGCGACGCGCCCGGGACGTCGTTGCTGAGCGTTTTGGCGTTGCCCAGGTTGGCGCGGTCAAGGTAGTTGCAGAGGTAGGCCTGGTGGCGATCGGTGGCGAGGGCAGGCAGAAGCTAGGCATGAGGGGCCCGTCGGACTTGAGTGTCGTCGGACAACGTCGGCCTGCCTGTCGCAGCAGGCGGCACGCTAAGACAATACTCACCACGCAGATCCACGGGAGAATGTGTCGGTCGATCTTGCGGACGAGGCGTCTCTCGACCTCGGCGTCGATGGCGAGATCCTCGTCGCAGTCTTCCAAGCCGTCCTGCAGCGTTACGACCGGCAGGATCCGGGGCTTGCCGCCGATTTTGTCGACATCCTCGGGCATCTTGGCCAGGACGTCGACTCGCTTGTCAACCAGATCCATGGCCATGTCGTTTTGATCCCGGTGTCGGTGTTAGAGCGTCGTCGATGCGGTAGCACGGGTAAGAGCGTCCGGCGATACGGCAGGAAAGGAGCATCCGGCGCCCTCTATATACCCATCCCACCCTTATGGGACCCCGCAGCCAAAGTTGCCGCTTCGAGAAGTCCTCGTAGAGTGGGCCGAGGACAGGCTCGCGGATCCTTCCTCCTTATCTAGCACCAAGCACGACCCCGCCCGCTCGCTCGCCCGCTCGGGTGCCCCACACGCCCCTCGGAGAAGCGGTTGGCACCGTCGGCTGCACTACGTACGTACGAATAGCGACCGAGGTGGGCTCGGAAGAACGCCGGTCCCATGCCAGGATGCCTGGACTCGCGTTCGATCTTATCTGCAGCTAGGAAGTGGCCGGCCAGGCGATAAGGAACATCACCGGCCAACAGGCTCGCCCGCGTCCCCTCGGCCGAACTTGCGCCAATTCCTCCAAGGCGCAGTGAGAGGCGAAAAAGAAAGCAAAAAAGAAGACCCCTACGGGGATTGAACCCGCGACCTACAGGAATCGGACGATTAGTGATCGTGCACTACCAGAACCGGGACCTGTCGCTCTACTACTGAGCTAAGAGGCCTTACTTGGAAGGTCAGCGTATTATGTTAAATATGAACGCTTACAAAAGATTCGTTCATACGAAAGCCGCGTCCAGGCGGGAACTTGAGGTTACAATTCTCACACAAGCCTAGCAAGAATGGCCCAAGGTGAGCACCAAGATCAACTTGGTCGAGCACCTTGGTCACCTTACTCAGGAAGCTTGCTTGTTTTTTCTGCTTTGAGTCTGCATCTCGCGGTGCACCCTGCAGCTTTCGCCTTGCTCCGAGCGATGGCCGACTGCCGAGATTTTGAAATGCCAGACGCCCCTTTCATCCGGCTTCAGACTCCTCACTGGTTCCCTCCTTACCACGACCGTCGGATCGCGTTGCCCACTAGGCTCCTCCGCCTCTCCTGCATACCACCGCATCATGTCGCTCATCATCACTCGCCGGTCAATGCACCATCGTCGCTGCACGGCGGGATCAGCATAGATCGGCAGCCCTCGACTCTTTGCCTGCCTCGCCCCCGCTCTCTTCGAGCGCCGGGCCCGATCCCGGGTCATGGCCGACCTCGCGCATTCATCCGCCGACGAACCCATACACAGTGCAATCGAAGTCTCTGCGCCGGACCCTTCGACACTCGAGCGTCAAAGGCTGCAAGACCTGACAAACTTCGTCTCGCAGCATGTGGCTCCGCACACCAACAGCGTCACAGACAAGCTCATCTTCGTTTGGACGACCACGCGTGGTAGATTTGGACGATCTTTGCCTCGCCAAAGCTGTGCTCCGTCGGACCTTTCGAAACTGGGTCCGCTCTTGCCTGTCGCCCGATGTCGAAGCGCACCTGCCCAGCTCCCTTCGCCCGCTCCTTCTCTCGACTGGCGTCCGCCGCCTGACTGAGGACGCCAATGAAATCTACAGAATCGTGCTGCCTCACCTGTCCGGCAGGCTGGAGAGCGATCGACGTGCCGGCACCTTGTCGCTGCTCTTGCGGCTGCTCGTCGAGGCTGCCACACGTGAGTCTGCCCTGCACCTTTTCATGCTTTCGGTCACCACGACTCTTTGCAGCTGACCTCAGCCCGGCAACGGTCCTTTCACCTCCTCCTTCGCAGAGCGCCTCCCCCCCCCCCCCCCCCCCCCGAACATCTTATTCCCTGGCAACCTGGTCGAGCGTGACTTTTAATCTGACTTCCACGGCGACGGCCATCTAGCTCTTTGTCGTCATATCGAGACGCTCCGCGTGACATTCGATAAAGCGAAGCATTACGGTCGCATTTTGCCGATCATTCAGTCTTCCGGCTCCGGCAAGTCGCGAACCGTCGACCAGGTGATTCGCAAGCACCACCTCGGCATCATGATCTGCTTCCGCGGCGCAAGCGATATCGTCTCCATCCCAGCCCGCGATCATGCCGCGGCCGACATCCTCTGCACACCCCTGACTGAGAAGAAGAGGCAAGACAAGCCTGCGATGCCGATGGAAGACGTTCTCGCCGAAGAGAAGGAAACGGCAGAACAACAAGAGACTCTCGCTAAGAGAGACGACCAGAGTGCGGAACAGGCTCGCATCCTAGCTGAACAGGCCCGCGAGGATGCTCAGCTCGTCGAGCGTAACAATCGCCATCGCGTATTGGCCTGGTTCGAGGCCTTCGCGCACGTCTTTGCTGAAGAGATCTCCGAGGCCAAGGCTTCGTACGAGCCCAGCCCGCCGTCTGAAGGTCGGCCCTCGTTTGTCGAGGAGTTCTACGAGCATCTGCAGCTGGAGTCGCCTTCGAGTCCCACAGATCCCAAGAGCAGAGGTAGACGTGTCCCTTCCTCACGTCGACAGGATCTCCTGGGTGCCATCGCCCGTCGCTACAAGACCAATTTACCGAAGCTCAGCCCCCTGGACGACTCGTCTGCAGAGGCGTTTGAAGCGGGTCCTTGCGCGCAGGCTTTCGCTCGTCTGCAGGCGGCGGTAGTAGCCGCTTATCCCGCCGGCCCTCGGCGCGACGAGGGAGTCTTTCTGCTGGCTCTTGACGAGGCCATGGGTTTTGGCGATCTCTTGCCCATTATTCGGCGGCTCTGGCAACGAATCGGCGAGGCGCCCTACGACGCGGACCGCATCTTTCTTATCTTGCTGGACACCAACTCCAATGTACACCACTTGGTCGGCAAAGGAGCGCTGAAACGGTCTGGACGCTTGGCAACGTTCCGGCTGGAACTGCCTGCGGCATTACAAGCTTCCGCTCGACGTTGGCTACGAGGCGCTCCCATTCGAGAAGCAGGACAAGCAGGGCAAGGATTGGACAAGTCTCCTTCATCAGCTGTCACTCATGGGCCGGCCGCTCCTCAGCAACAGGCACGTCAAGTTCTCGAGTGGACACGATCCTTCCAGGACGCAGCTGCTCCCCTTGGTTGGTGACGTTTCGTTGGCCAAACTGCAGGCCAAGCTGATCTTCAATGCCGACGTTCTCCTGCTTCCCGACATCCGCGCCATCGATGAAGACGAACTGTCCCTGGATGCCATGGACCGGTACTTGGCGGCGCTGAGCCAGCGCGTTCCGCTGCTGTTCATCGGTTTGCCAGGGAACGTCGCTATCGAGCTCTTCCTGCAACGTCAGGTCAGCACGCACTTTCGGACCATCATCGACATCGAACCGAGCACCTCATGCGTCATCACGAGCACCCCGTCCGAGCCATTGCTGAGCCTCGCTGCTGCGGATCTCTTCCGGAAGCAACTAGGAGACCCTACGCACGGCGTAAGGCATCGCTTGCGAGATTCGATCAGGATCATCCGGCATTTCAGGTCGTTCTATGGCTTCACAATGGGCCTCGATGACGAGGAGATGGCTCGACTGCTTCTGACGATGGCCACCGACATTGCCTCTGTCAACGAGCTCAACCTTGCCGCCGAACGCATTGCCCTCGACAGGAGCAAGGCCGTAGCGGAGGGCGTTGCCGGGAACATGACGGAGGCAAGGCTCGAGCTCTGGCGCGAGGGCATAACACTAGAGCCTCTGACGGTGTGGGCATGGCTCGTCGCGTTGCTTGGCGATCAGATTGTCCGAGCCACGGCGTTTAGCATGCCAGAGGGGTCGTCGAGCGCGGCGCGGAGCAAGGGAGCCAAGTCGGACTTTGAGAGGTTCGCCCGTTCGGCCACGATCACGTTCACGCACTTTGCCCAGCTGCCCAACAACATCCGCACCGTCAGCAAGCGGCAGCTGTCGGAATGGTTCGCGGAGCACGTCGCCATCTTCGGCGCCGCGGGCCAGGAGAGCTGGGATCTGCTCATCCCGGTCTACCTTGATGAGGACTGGAACGGCCCCAGCACCATTATCGACATCGCCAAGTTCTCCTTTGTCGTCATTCAGGTGAAGAACAGGAGCACACTCGTGCCGTTGGGCCAGATCGGGATCGATCCACCCAAGGTCGTCGCTGAGCCATCCGACCGTTCATCGCACGGCGCTGCTGGTGCCAAAGGAAAGGCGTCCGAGCCCCTCGAGTACCTCTCGATCTTCATGCAGCTCAAGGCGGTCCCGAGGCGAGGGCGCGAGGCTGTCTCGTACTCGTGCCACCACCGAGGCAAGACGCGTGCTCACGAGCTCCAGACCATCGGCATCGAAGACGCTTTCGGCGAATTGCTGCGGCGACTGGGTGATGATGGTGCGATCGACGATGCGTACGTCCTTCTGGGCACAAATCGCTCCCGCCTTGTCTTTGAAGATACGCACCATCGAGAGGAAGACTCCGACATCGACCCGCGCGTCGCCTATGGACGCGCACACAAGCGCCCAGATGAGGCACCCGCTTGAGTTGCCCTCGTCGTCGGGCACAACTTCGACACGTCACCTCGTTCCTCGCCCACCGTCCCGCAGGCAGGCAGGCAGGCAGGCAGGCAGGCAGGCAGGCAGGCTACAATTTTGGATCGTAGCTAGATCGTAGGTAGGCTGCGCGCCCAAAAAAAATCGTACACAGGCATCGATGCCCGATTTGAGATCGTAGGCAGGCTGCGCATCGGAAAAATCGTAGACAGGGGTCGATGCCCGATTTCAGATCGTAGCCTGCCTACGACCAAAACCGGGCCCAACCCTGCTGCTAGCTATGACTGTTGTCTTCCTTATGGAGCAGAAGAGCGAAGTATACGCCTATTTCATCAAGTACAAGCTGTTCATGGAGAACCAGACCGGTCAGACCATCAAGAGATTCAGATCCAACAACAGAGGAGAATACACCGGACATGAGTTCAAGAGTCACCTCGAAAACTGTGGTATCATCCACGAGACAAGCGCTCCTTACACCCTGCAACAGAATGGTGTTGCCGACCGCATGAACAGGACTCTATTTGACAAGACTAGAGCTCTACTGTTTGAAAGCGGCGCTCCAAACATCATGTGGGGAGAAGCGCTCCTGCATGCAGTTTACCTCCAGAATCACCTACCGACCAAGTCACTTCACGGAATGACTCCCTACAAGGCAATGTGCGGCAACAAACCAGACATTTGCATCCTGAGGGTATTTGGATGCGCAGCTTGGGCCCATGTCCCCGAAGAAAGGCGCATCAAACTCATAGCTAGCAGCAGGATCTGGTCAAAAAAAAAACGCACTTGTATAAAGATTTGAAATTCCAGCTGCAGCCAGCTTGTGCGATTTCTCAGATTGCAGCAGGCATGCGATCAGCTGCGATCTGAGATCCTGAATTTTTCCTGCCTGCGATCTGAAATCCACTCATAGTGGCCAGGATCTTAGATCGCACTTGTATAACGACTCTCAAATCCTGGATCGCACAGCCTGTGCGATAAGGAAAATCGGGAATTACTTTTGCTGCTAGCTATGACTGGACAAATGCGCAATTAGGACCATCTTCTTGGGAATTGCGGTCGACACAAAGGGATACAAGCTATACGACCCAATCTCAAGGACTACATTGGTCACCAGACATGCCGTCTTCGATGAAGATGTCTTCCCATTCAAGACCAAGATGATGCTCACGCTCTTTGGAAACAGCAAGCTGAGCAACCAGGTTGCATCAACCCTGGCCAATGCTGAGCCAAGCAAGGAAGAGCAAGGACCGACCGACAAGACCTGCACTCTAACCGTCGTTCCAGAGCACTACAATAACATGCCTGACTCACCACTGGGTGCTCCCATTGCGACCGCCACAGAACGCGACAATGGCATCCGCACGCCAACAGACAGCAAGCCACTGCGAGCGTTTCACGTTGCTGACGTGCCGGATGTTCCAGAGCTCAAGACATCAAATCCAATGGATAGGGAGGACACCTCGATGCCTGAAGACTCAGCTCAAGCACCATCATCGATTGACAATGAACCAAACACGTTTGAAGAAGCTCGATGTCGTGCCAATTGGCCGCTCTGGGAGGAACCAATCAATAAAGAGCTGAAAGCGCACGATGACAACAATACCTGGACGCTGGTCCATAGGCTTAGAGGGCGCAACATCATCGGAAGTTGATGCGTGTTCAAGACCAAGTGTAAAGCAGATGGCTCAATCGACAAATATAAGGCTAGATTGGTCGTGCAAGGCTATACGCAACGTCACAGCATCGACTACAAAGAAACGTTTGCGCCAGTTGTCAAAATGTCAACACTTCGCCTTCTCCTCATCATCGCTCTACAGCTCAAGATGACTGTCATCCCAATGGATGTAGTCACTGCTTTCCTCAACGGCGACATCAATTGCAAACTTTTCATGCACCAAGCGCTAGGCCAGAGCTCTAGAGACGACAAAGTATGTCAACTCAACAAGGCGCTCTACGGCCTCAAGCAAGCAGGACGCACTTGGTATGAAAAGGCCAGTGATGTCTTTGACAAGATGGACTTTGAGCAGTCTGACTATGACCCTGCTCTATTCCTTTGAACGGTCAAGAATGCCCCACCGGTGATCCTGATGCTGTACGTTGAATGACATCGTTATCTTTGCGCAACGACCTGAAGATGCCGAGAAGGTTAAACAAGAGCTCTGCAGTCACTTCCAGATGACTGGAGGTGACCCGCTTCAATACATCCTCGGAATCCAAGTGCAGTCGACCACGGACTCTTTCCATCTCTCCCAAATGGCATACATTGACCGACTCCTTTTCCACTTTGGCCTCAGCGATGCCAATATTGTCCACACACCAATGAAATCAAGCTCTGACCTGACCATTGGCGAGCCGCTTTCGCAAATTGAGCACTCGATGTACCGCACAATGGTAGGCTTGGTACTCTATATGTCTACTTGCACTCGGCCAGACATCGCCTTTGCCATCCAACACCTCAGCTGCTTCCTCCAAGAACCGACCACTAGCGCTCTTGTGGCGGCAAAGCACCTTCTACGCTACTTGAAAGGCACTCGGAAACATGCATACAGACAACTGGATGTCGACCCAACGGACTGGGCCAATGCAATGGCGACATATTCCGATGCAGACTTTGGGGGAGACACTCAGAGTTGAAAGTCTACATCTGAAATCGCCAACACCATACAAGACATGCCGTACAGCTGGTACTCCAAGCGTCAAGGCCTTATCACCGACTCCACCACGTTTGCCGAGTACGTCGCAATGCAAGAAGCGACGAAAGAAATCATGTGGGTCCTGCAGGAGACTACTCCAGAACATTGGACTGCTAGTCTAGAGCCCTACACGGCTCCATGCCAACAACCAGGCAGCAATCCAGCTAGCCAAAGACCCGAAATTCCACAACCGCACAAAGCATATCAACATCAAATACCACTTTGTACGCGAGCAGCAAGCTCTCAACACCATTTCGGTTGTCCAGACATCTACACATGATCAGCTTGCTGACATGTTCACCAAGCTGCTTGACCAAGTCACGCTTGCGAAGAACAGAGACTGGCTCTCTGTTCTAGAGCCCTACTTTGCCAACTAATAAGCCGGGCCTCCGCCCCGAGCTATACACTGTCATTTTGTGACCTGCACGGACCTACCCCACGAACAAACCATAAACTTCGTCAATCTTCCTTCCCTACCTACAAACAAGCTTCAATCACCACAGTTGCATCAAAGCCTTTACCATTCTAGGATTGACTTCTGGCAAGTCAATCAGGACCCCAATTTCCGCTTCCGCCCTTTACTCTACCTCCACACGGCTAACTTTCCAAGGGCATCAATCAAGACCAACAAAGGGCAATGGCCACGCCACCCTCCAACTCTCCTTCCCACTACCACCATTTCCACCCTCATACTGCTCCCAACTCGCTCCTCCAACAGCAAGCACCTGCCATCCATCCACCGGCACCAACAACCAGTCATCTACACCACCAACGCCAGCACAATGACCGACGCTGCCAACACCATGCTGCGCAAGTCCACCCGCGCCAGGAAGGCCACAACGCTCCAGGTCATGCCGATCGTGCAGACCGCAAGCAAGCGCAAGGACAGCGCCGACCACACCACCAACAAGCGCGCCAGGGCCAACTCGAAGGCCAAGGAGCCAACACAAGAGGCCAAAGGCAGCAACCAAGAGCCCAAGACGTTGCTCCAGGGCTCTGGATCCACTCAGGCCAGCAGCACCAACACTGACAATGCCAACTAGGGCGCTGACAACAACACCACCACCACCAACCAGCCAGAGGAGGCCACTGGCGAGGCAGAGGGACGCGCCACGGCCAAAAAGGACAAACAGGCTGCTTCCAAGCATGCCTCCATTTTGAAAGAGGCCATGCGCGCCACCACACCCGAGCAGCTCGCAGCAAGCACCGCTGCCCAATCAGCCCATTTGCAGGCACCTGAAGGCGTTGGAAGGTCTCCTCAAGCCCACTCCAGCACTCTGGAAGAGCAAGAAGATGTCGGGATGACGTCTGAGGAGCAGCAGGAGGCCAACAGCCAGCTTGATGGTCAAAGCGGCATCGACTCGCCCCTCCAGACATAGCTAGCGGCAAGGATTTAGCTACGGCCTCGGGAGGTGGAGATCTCCTTCGCTACCCCAGGGCCGTAGCCAGCCGGTCTACCACTTCAGCCTTTGGGCCGTAGGACCCCTACGCTCCGCTGGGCCGCAGGACAGCATCGCTCCCACACCGTAGGCACAGTACGCCCCACAGCCGTATCTTCTGCACAACCATTCAATTGCAATACTGATACGGTACCTACAAGGACAGCAGCAACAGCAGCAAGGTGGCAGCAGAGCGGCAGCAGCAACAGCGGCAGAGCATTGTCAGCAGCAAAGTAAGGCGGTGAGGGAGGAGCAGGCAAGTAGAGGGGAGCAAAGGAGTCAGCAACGGCGCGCGGCAGAGTGGTAGAAGAACAAGATCCATAGCTAGTGTCAAAGGGCAGGTGGTTTTTGGCCGTACGCCAGCCTACGGCAGAAAATCGGGAAATCGGGGGTCATCTACGCTAAAAATGGCCGTAGGGCCACCTACGGCCGGAAAATCGGGGCTGTAGGGCTACCTACGGCCATTTTCTGAGGGGCAGCTACGTCATTTTTGGCCGTAGGCCTCCTACGGCACTGGGCCGACCCCACCCTGCGCAGAAAAATGGCCCTTTCTGCTTACGTCAGCTCAGGGGCCTGCTGGTGCGCGCGCGCGGCCACCCGGCCCTTTGCCAATTCCGTCCACCCGCCCGTACCATCTCCTGCCCTCCAACCACCACCACACGACGCCACCTGCCAGCCGCCCGCCAGCCACCTGCCAGCCTTCAGCGCAGCGCAGCCGCCACCTGCCTGGCCCAGCCCAGCCAGCCGTCAGCCAGCCGCCAGCCAGCCAACAGCCGCCAGCTGCCAGTTGCCAGCCGCCACCACCCGCCAGCCAGCCGTCAGCCAGCCGTCAGTCCAGCGCAGCCACCCGCCAGCCTAGTCCAGCCGCCCGGCTCAGCCAGCACCTGCCAGCCAGCCGCCAGCCGCCAGCGAGGCCCAGTCAGCCGCCACCCGAGCCAGCCAGCCAGCCAGCCAGCGAGGCCCAGCGAGAGGCCCAGCCAGCCAGCCACCCAAGCCGCAAGCCCAGCCAGCCAGCCAACAGCCAGCCAGCCGACCGTCCAGCGCAGCCGTCAGCCGCCAGCGAGACCCCGCAAGGCCCAGCCAGCCAGCCAGCCGCCGCTCAAGCCAGCTTCCCGGAGCCGCCAGTCCAACCAGCCAGCCGCCAGTCCAGCCCGCCATTTGCCAGTCCAGCCAGCTGCCGCTGCTGCCAGCAAAGCGCAGCTGCCTCGCTGCTTGCATCTGCCCAGCTGCCTCATCACCGCTTCTGCCCGCTTCTGCCTGCCTCCGTCAATCATCGGAGACGTCGGAGAGGCCCTCTCCGGCGTCTCCAATGATTGAGACCACTGACCGCTTGCTTCCGCTCTGCATGCATGCACAGCTCGCCTTTGCTTGCCGTTGCCTGCCGGTCTGCTGCTGCTCTGGTGAGTCGACTGTTTCCGCTTGCTGCTGCTCTGCTGCACGCCATTGCTGACTCCTTTGTTCCCCTCTACTTGCCTGCTCCTCCCTCATCCCCTTGCTTTGCTGCTGACGCTCTGCCGCCGCTGCTGCTGCCGCCCTGTTGCCGCACGCAACCACCTGCCTTCCTGCCTCCTTGCCCCGCCACCCACCAATGCTGTCGCTGTGTCGCCGCACGTCAGTGTAGCTAGATTTTGCAATACAATGTCCATAGAATACATACGGCAGTGGAGGGCCTACGGTAGGCAGGCCGTAGGATGCCTACAGCCAAAAATGCTGTAGGTGGTCTACGGCATCCCAGTGCCGTAGGGGATTAACGATCTCCTACGGCACTGCACTTTTGTAGATGATCTCCGATTTCCGAAATTGTAGGCCAAAGCCTGCCCCTAGCTATGATCGGCAACAGCAAACTCACATGAGCGGCAGCAGACCTGCAGGCAGCGGCAAGGTGATCTGTGCAGGCAGTCGGAGCGGAGCGGAGCAGAGCGGAGCGGAAGCAAGGCCTTCAATCATCGGAGATGCCGGAGAGGGCCTCTCTGACATTTCCAATGATTGAAGAGGGCAGCAGGGTGGAAGCAAGCGGTGCAGAGCAGCAGCAGCTCGCAGCTCACCGGGTGGCTGGCTGGGCCGGCTGGCAGCTTGCAGTTGGGCCAGGCGGCTGTGCTGAGTTGGCAGCTGGCTGGGCCGCGCGGGTGGCTGGACGGCTTGCTGGCTGGGCCTTGCTGGGCCTCGCTGGCGGCTGGCGGCTGGCGGCTGACTGGCGGCTGGCGGCTGGCTGACGGCCGGCTGGCGGGTGGCTGGGCCAGGCGGATGGCTGCGCTGGACTGACGGCTGGCTGGCTGGCTGGCTGGCTGGCTGGCTGGCTGGCAGGGTCGGTCGGCTGGCTGGGCTTTGTTGAGAGCTGGCTGGCATCTTGCTGGCTGGTGGGGCCCCGCTGGCGGCTGGCTGTTGGCTGGTGGCTGGCGGGTGGCGGGTGGTGGCTGGCGGGTGGCGGGTGGCTGGGTGAGTCGCAGGGCCATGTGACTGTGCTGGGCGCTGGCAGGGCTGGCGGCTGGCTGGTGGGTGGTGGCAGCTGGCGTCGGGTGGTGGCGGCTGGCGTTGGGTGGTGGTGGTAGGAGGGCAGGAGAGACAGGTGGGTGGCGGATGGATTTTGGCAAAGGGCCGGGTGGCAAACGGCCGGGTGGCAGGCCAGCGCGCGCGCAACAGCAGGGCGCCCCTGAGCTGACGTAAGCAGAAAAAGTCGTACTTTCGGCCGTACCAGTGCTGCGTTGCAAAACAGCGCGGGACCCTGCCAATTCCCAAGCGTATAGCCTGTGCAGCTCAAAAAAGTCGCAGGAGACCTCCGATTTCCGGCCAAAGGACTCTGGCAGCCCAAAAAGGCTGAAGGACACTCCCGAATTCCGAGTCTAGGGCCGAAGGACCCCTACGGCCTAAATCGTAGGTACCTTTGACGCTAGCTATGAGAGCCAGCAAGCCACAACACGCCCGCTGACCAGCAAGTAGTTGATGCCTCCTCCTCCCAAGGCGAGGATGACATTGACATGGAGCTGGACGCCGAACTAGAGCAGGCGAAGCGCGAGGCCCAGGAGATGCGACGCCAGCTCAAGATCGAGCAACTGCATCACAAGCAGCAGGAGGTCCAACGCTGACTTGCAGTTGTGCAAGAGCAGATGCGCCAGACGCAACTTCAACGCAAGGTGGAAGAGCCACGCAGGGTGCACAAGCAGGCGTACATCTACAGCTCAAGCAAGGAAGAAGCCGACTCCAGCGTTGAGGACCAGGACCAGGGCCAGGCCAGCGGCTCTGCCTGCCAAGTCGCCAACACAGAGGTCGAGAGGACGGTCCAGAGTCCTGAAGCTGCAAGAAGCAGTCCTCCGCCTGAGGAGCCCGTCCGCAAGCACAAGGGGAAGGCCAAGGCCAAGAGCAAGGGCAAGGGCAAGGGCAGAAGCAAGCGCGCCCACCTGCTCAAGCCCGCTACAGAACTCGACGCGCTCATCTGCGCTGGCAAGATCATTGTGGACCCCACCAGCAAAGGTGAGGACTCCAATGTCAAGGACGATCAAGAGGACTAGACGCACATCCAGTCCTCTAGGCATTGCAACCGCTCCCCACTTGTCGAGATCCCCAAGGAAATCCCCTACCATGAGCCTGAAGCCAAGTTCACCGCGTCTGAGGGCAACAGCAAGCGTGAGGACCCCGCCTCAGAGGCCAGTCAGGAGGACCAGGAAGAGGTCCAGTCCTCTGGAGAAGAAGAAGAAGGAGAAGGAGAACAAGACGATGACGACGACGACTACCAGTCCTCTGAAGGCAAAGCGGTTGCCTCCACTTCCAAGATCAAGCTCGCTCCGCTGCCTGCCTCCTCAACGCTGGCACGCAAGCCAACACCACGCAAGTTGAGGGCAGGCCACAAAGGCCATGTGCACATCAAGTGCAAGGATCCTGTTGAGGTAGCCTTCCTTCTTCCATCTGCCGGCGGATGCGCGCAACAACAGGCGCCTGGAAGCGCACTTCCCCAAGACCATGCTCACATTGGAGCCCATATTTGTCCTCCAGGATCCGGCTTGCAAGAAGTGCCAACTGCACGGTGTCGTCTGCAGGCGCAGCAATGGCTTCAACTTTGCCGGCAAGTCAAGGACCGAAGAAGGCAAGAAGTCAAAGTGCGACTACTGCTCCTTCCTTGGCAAGCCCTGCTCAACCGGCCCTAGGAACTTGACAGCCAAGGTTAGAGCTCTGGACAAGCTGCTTGAGGTCCATGCCTTCCTTACAGACTCGGCCACGCTCGCCAGGGACAACAAGAAGGTCCAACTCGAGTACACATGCATGGCTGCATCGCTGTTTGAGGCCTACGACAAGCTCTCTCAGATCGCAAAGGAGAGCGGCACCAGCAAGCTGGCTCCCAGAAAGAAGACAAGCGCCAAGAAGTCATAGCTAGCGTCAAAGGTAAGTACGATTTGGGCCGTAGAGGTCCTTTGGCCCTGAACTCCGGATTTGGGAGTATCCTTTGGCTTTTTTGGGCCGCCGTGGTCCTTTGGCCGGATTTCGGAGGACTCCTGCAGCCCAAAAAGGCCAAAAGACACCTACGGCCAGGAATCGGAGGCCATTTGCGCTGCTTTCAGCCGCAGGCTTTGTACGGCCGAGAAAATGGCTCTGCTTATGTCAGCTCAGGAGGCCTTGCGCGCGCACGTTGGCCCCTTTGCCACCCGGCCCTTTGCCACCTGGCCCTTTGCAAAATCCATCCGCCGCCCATTTGTCTCTCCTGCCATCCCACCACCACCACCACCTGACGCCAGCCCTCAGCTGCCACCACCTGCCAGCCGCCACCACCCGCCAGCCAGCCACCCAAGCCAGCCACCCAAGCCAGCCACCCAGCCAGCCGTCAGCCAGCCACCTGCCAAGTGCCAGCCGCCAGCCGCCAGCCGCCAGCTGCCAGCAAGCATAGCTAGGGGCAGAAATTTTCCTACGATTTCGGGAATCAGAGATGATCTACAAAAGTGCAGTGCCGTTGAAACGGACAAAGCACGCAAAGCAGGAGATGGATGGGAGGGCCACTTTTGGCTGGAGACTATGATGGTAGGAAGGGAAGGGAGATGGTCGTGCGCGCGCGCGGCAAAAAGCTCTGCCAGCTGGCAGGCAAAAAAGGCCGTCTCAGCCGAGAGAAGAAAACGCGTCAGGGTCGGCGTGGCCCAGGCTTCGGGCCCGCGTCACCGTAGGAGATCGTTAATCCCCTACGGCACTGGGATGCCGTAGGCCACCTACGGCATTTTTGGCCGTAGGCATCCTACAGCCTGCTTACCGTAGGCCCTCCCTCGCACCCACAGCCGTATGTATTCTACCGGCATTGTATTGCAAAATCTAGTTACACTGATGTGCGGTGGCACAGCAACAGCATTGGTGGGTGGCGGGGCAAGAAAGCAGGAAGGCAGGTGGTTGCATGCGGCAACAGGGCGGCAGCAGCGGCAGCGACAGGGCAGCAGCAGCAAAGCAAGGGGATGAGGGAGGAGCAGGCAAGTAGAGGGGAACAAAGGAGTTAGCAAGGGCGCGCGGCAGAGCAGCAGAAGGACAAAGCAGCAACAGTCAACTCACCAGAGCGGCAGCAGACCAGCAGACAACGGTAAGGTGAGCTGTGCAGGTGCAGGTGGAGTGGAAGCAAGGCCATCAGTGGTCTCAATCATCGGAGACTTCGGAGAGGTCTCCTCCGGCGTCTCCGATGATTGACGGCGGCAGCGGGGCGGAAGCAGCGGTGGCTGGCAGCTCACTGGGTGACTGGCTGGGCTGGGCTGGCGAGTGGCTGGCAGGTGCTGGCTGGCCCGGGCGGCTGAACTAGGCTGGCGGGTGGCTGCGCTGGACTGACGGCTGGCTGGCTGGCCGGCTGGGCCAGGTGGGTG